AAGACATAAGGATGTCCTTGAGGCAGTGACGATGAAGATAACCAATGCATTAGAGGAGAATCAGTTTTACTGTAACATCTGTCCCTATCCAACACATTATTTTCAAGCGGCAGTCAAAATTCTTGTCCTTTGTCCGAGCAATCCTTTGTAGAACTTACCTAGTATTTGATTTATCATCAGTTTGTTCTTATCCTAAATAAGCATAAAATATTTTCCACTGAACGCAAACACTGAAGGGTGTTAAAATATCCATATCTACGGATATGAACGTAGATAACGAATTTATCCCCGGTCTTAGTCTAAATCTGGCGATTTTAAGAGAAATTCGACCACAAAGTTTAACGTGAAAGCAACGTTTTTCTCATTTTTTAAATATCTTTTATTGAAATTTGGGAATTTGACATATTTTTAACGGGGTTTGGTACATGTAGAACCCTACAGGTAGACAAATATTAGACTTTTTTATACTAGACAGAGAAACTGAAATGGGTCGAATTTGGCGCGCAATGTTGTGAGAGTTACATCATAAACGGTATGACGTCAACGTGAGTCATTTGCATAGCTAGGTCAGTAGTACCATTCATTGACAATGTGGCTGCATAGTGATGCATTTACTAAAATGAGTGCAAATAATCGATATAATAAGATAAAATCGTTAGTGGATTAAGTATTTAATTATACAGACATCATGGAAAATCTACAGAATTCGATATTTCATAAGGAACAACCATGGAACTAAGGAAAACGCGCGTGAAATTCCCCGATGTAATGGATAGCAACGTCCGGGGATATGGGTTAGCAACACCCAGGGGCTATGGGTTTTGTAACGACGTGCGTTAACCAATCAAACTCCTAGAAATATACTAAGCCGGGGATAAATATATATATATTAGTCTAAATTGAAAACAACGTTCAAACCTATGATTGCGTTGGATAAAAACAGCAATATTTATACGTGTGCATGTAAATCAAATTTCTTGGTAGAGGGGTCTAAATACAGCACAAAATTAACATTTTCCAAAAGACCAAAAGAGTGAAAAAGTATATATTAACAAAACGCATTTGACTAACAGGTCAAACAACGGTTCTTAAACCCTGCTGACTGCCATATAAATTGATCACCAGATTTAACAAAATGGATCTTAATATTAATTCAATACCAAACAGAAAACAATTAACTTGCGGAAAGATGGTATTCCACAAACTTGAGGTGCAAAAATTTGTACACCATATCCGGATTTCGACAATTAATGTCTCTTCGGTGATGTTGGGGATCGAAACGGTATTTGGAAGGCCATTGTATAACATATATATATATATATATAAAGTGCCTAGAAAATCAACCTAACGATGTTAGAGTAGATCTGTTTCTTTACTTCCTCTCCGAGTGGGGCTGGAACCTGTACTTTTTATTTCTAACTTCTACGACAACACCGCCTAGCATTGCGCAGACACCTTACCCCCCCCCCCCCCCCCCCTCCTCTAACTATATAGCTGATATATATATATATATAATCAAAAGGTAGAAATTCAGTCTAAGTCATATATAATTCAACTTGCTCAATACAGATCAAAGCGTATATCAAATTCCCATCAAAAGTAGTTTTCTCAATCATTATGCAGAAAACACGATTCCATTAATCAATAATAATAAATAAAATTTTCCAAGCAAGGTAGATTTTAGATCTCTATACGTCAAATCTTCACTTCAGTTTTCAACCTAGCTTGGGATATTTGAGAAATTGACCAGCATTTATTATAGGGGGTCTCATTGGGGGTGTCTGATCCCGGATCCCGCTTACTGTTTTGTTCAGATTCCCGTATCCCGCTTACACTATGTACGTAAGCAATTCTCATTTTTTTGTAATTTCCTGTTTCCCGCTAGACTTCATTTCCCGTTTTCACGCCACAATAATTTGACTTTCAAAAAATCGGCAATACCGCGTCACGCTTAGACCCCAATGAGACCCACATTATACAATCCCATTACAACTTCATTGAAAAAAGAAATTAAAATTCATGACATAGAAGCAATACATATACATGAAATAACAAAAGCGAAGGAACAGCGGATTCATTGCTGTTCCTCATCACAAAGTCAGCGAGGCATTTAACAGGGAGCTTAGGGTAGTATGGAAGTCTTCTGCATTCACGCAAGTCAGCAAATTTTGATGCAGGAATGCAATTTCTCTAATTCTTCGTCAATTTATCCCTTTCTGCACCCATTGTATAAAAAAAATTTAATCAACGTGTGGTTCGTTTGATCTCAGTTCTTCATTGGTAAAAATCCGATTATGACGTCGAATTTTCTTGCTTTCCTCTGAATTTCCTATTTTGACGGCATGAAAAAAGGCGACCATGCCTGATGACGTCACATAGAAAGAACACATCTTTTTGCAGATCATTCGAAAAGAAGGAATAAATTTGCCTGCGTATTGTTTGAAAATCATTAGAGAAACAGATTCCACCACCAAATCTCGTGTAATACGATATTTATCCACTCTCGACAGTTAAATTTTAAATATTTAAAACGCTCGGCGAGCCTCGCGTTTTAAATTTGAAAATTTAACTGTCTCGCGTGGATAAATATCGTATCACACTCGATGCAGTGGTAGAATCTATATTTACCTAACAATTGATGTGATATTCTCTCATGATTTACACTATTTTTTTTAACAAAGGTAGATTTTTGCTCGATTTCGAAGCATTTTAGAGAGCTATCTTCCCATATTTTATAATATAAATATATCATTCAGTTTATCGTCTATTTACATAATTAGGATTCCTTTTTTTCTATACAATCCATACAAAATGTGTAATGTTTTTCACTTATAGATTGAAAACAGAAAAATGTGGTACGTCTCTGTTAACCTGCAATATTTATTATAGTTTGGAACATATGAAAATTAAAATTTTAGAAAAGTATTAAAAAAGTATCATCATTTTTCATTTATATTTCCATATAATCAGTAAGTATTCTTACTTAACTGCAAGTTCAAGACAACCATTAGCACAAATTATAGTGAAAATCTCTTGTTAGTTTGCTTTAACTAAATGTCATGCATTCTGCAAAATTTCAGGTCGCACCTAGCCAGTTGTCTGGTTCTAAACAAATGGTTTTCCAATTACTGGTATACCTAAAAATGCAAAGGTCAATGAATGCGATAGAGGGACATTGCCTAAGGGGACGACCCTTTCACATCCTGTGGGCCAGGGAGGTTTGGGAAATAAATATTCTAGCATGGTATTAAAATTAAGAACTGAAAAAGTAACATTTCCCAACAAAATGCAGAATTCGAGTGTGACCGAACGTGAAAGGTTAAAAAAAAACACCTCACATTCACCAGAATATCTTGACTGGACGTTCCTTTATATACTAATCGTGACCACATACCAAATACTCAATTAGTGGTCTTTCATAAACTATTTTTCATCAAAAGAAACGTTTGAAATTTCCAAATGCCCCCCCCCCCAAAAAAAAGAATGTCTGGAACACGACTGTCGGAGACTGGAGCCTTGTATCATGTACGCTTTTTATATGCACCTGTATATTAGCAACCTAATTATCGAGGTGCATAAAATTAATGTATGATAACATGAACGATACAGCAATTAACATCGACAGTTTCAACAATAGAGAATCCGTCTTATATATCTATAGTGGTCGAGTGGTCTAGAGCGCTGTTCATGAGGCTAAGCGATTGGTGCAGTAGTGTATCAAAGGTGCGAGTTCAAATCCCGGTGAGGGACAAACATTTGTCAGCATAAAAATCTAATTCTAACACTGTTGGGTTTAATTTTCAGTCATATATATATATATATATATATCCTTTTCCTTGTAAAAAATAGTACTTTATATATTTGGCGAATTGAGAAAGGTTTTCAGGCTGAACTTACCCGACAAGGAACACGAAAATCCCAAAATTTGAAAGCAAAGGATGCACAAATACTTAGATACAAGACAAAAGGGATATTAAAAGAATAACTGAAACCATCCAAGGTCAACTCTGATATAAATATACCTTTTTAGAAAGCTTCATTTCTGTTTAAAAAAAAGGTGCCAGAAGAGTAACAACTATGTCTTGCTAACAAGGAAGCCTAAACCTCGAAATTGTATTTTATTCAAAGCACATGATGGCTATTAGATTTGTTAGTCTTGGAAAACAAGTGTCACGACTAAATATATTAGTTGGAGCCTCTAACATTTATCTTTTTTTTAAATATAAAAATTTCCTCAAGTCTCCTGGCAAAGAGCTGAACTGAAATCTGTAACTTGAGTGAACAATTTTCAAATTATTTAACGTGTGCAGAATAAAATATTTTTTGTCGAACTCTTTGGTTGTTTAGTGCCAAAATTCTTTAAAATATTGATTGTGAATATTTTTTTTTAAAATAACCAATAACAATGCAGTATCTGATTAATGATTGCTTAATGTTGAATCGGCATAAAAAATACTGCTCAGACTTAATATTTGTTGGTGTTGTCTTGCTGATCAGTTTTTTAAATTTTAATTTTTTATCTCTATTATAGTTTCTAAGATACAATGTAATAGGCAAAAATGCAAACTAGAGGCTCTCAAGAGCCTTTGTCGCTAACCTGACTCTACTTTAGTTTTGGAAATAATGTAAAAATAGATAAAAATCATAACAGATACCCAAATAATGATTGAGGCCAAATTTGGTTTAATATTGGCCCCGTAATTTAATAAAAAATCCTGGTGGCCATATTGAACAGTAAATCGGCAAAAAAAGTAGCAACACTTAATCAGCACCTCATAAGAAACATTTATGCCATGTTTTGGTTTCATTCCATTCAGTGGTTCTCTAAAAGAAGACATTTGAATGTATTTCCCTTAGGGTCCTATGTTAAACTAAGTCCCCCGCTGGCGGCCATCTTGGATGATGGAGCTGCTTCAGAGTAACAACACTTGGTTAGCAAGCACCTCATAAGGAACATTCATGCCATGTTTGGTTCCATTCCATTCAGTGGTTTTCTAAAAGAGAAGACATTTGAATGTATTGTCAATAGGGTCCTATGTTAAACAAAGTCCTGACGGCCATCTTGGATGATGGATCGGCTTCAAAGTTACAACACTTGGTCAGCACCTCATAAGGAACATTCATGCCATGTTTGGTTCCATTCCAACCCGTAGTTCTCTAAAAGAAGACATTTGAATGCATTTCACTTAGGGTCCTATGTTAAACTAAGTCCCCAGCTGGCAGCCATCTTGGATGATGGATCGGCTTCAAAATAACATTCATGCCATGTTTGGTTTCATTCCATTCAGTGGTTCTCTAAAAGAAGACATTTGTTTGTATTTCCAATAGGATCCTATGTTAAACTAAGTCCCCTGCTGGCGGCCATCTTGGATGATGGATTGGCTTTAAAGTAACAACACTTGGTCAGCACCTTATAAGGAACATTCATGCCATGTTTAGTTTCATTCCATTCAGTGGTTGAACCAGGTTCTCTAGAAGAAGTTCAAAATGAAAAATTTAACGAGGATGACGAACGACCAACACCAAGTGATGAGAATAGCTCACTTGGCCCTTTGGGCCAGGTGAGCTAAAAACTGGGAAAATATAATCGTCATTAAAGGGCAATAACTTCAATAAAGGAGTCGACTAACAATTTAAGTAATTTAACTTATTTGTTGATCTTGTCTTGCTGATCATTTTTGCAATTGAAAGTTTTTATCCCTCTATTATAGTTTCAAGATAATGGGCAAAAATGCCAAAAATAGGAAAAAAAATTGTCATTAAAGGGCAATAATTTCAAAAAGGAGTTGACTAACGATTTCGGTAATTGAACTTAATTGAAGATCTTGTCTTGCTGATAATTTTTGCAATAAAAAGTTTTTATCCATCTCTTATAATTTCCAAGATAATAGGCAAAAATGCAAAAATTGGTAAAAATATCGTCATTAAACTTAAAGAGGAATAATTTCAATAATGTGTTGACTGATAATTTCAATCATTTGACTTATTTGTAGATCTGTTCTTGCTGATCACTTTTGAAATTTCAACTTTCTGTCTATCTATTATAATTTTCAAGATTATATGCAAAATGTAAATGGTAAAATTCCTCATTTAAGGGCAATAACTCCTATAAGAAGTTGTCTGACAATTTTAATGTCAATAAAAATTTGGTAGATCTCATCATTATGAACATTTTTGCTTTGTCAAATTTTCTATCAATATCAGTTTTCAAGATAATAAAGAAAAATTGCATTGGCCCCCATTTCTATTTTTAGCCATGTCGGCAGGTAGGATCATCAGACACATTTTTGAAACTAGATAACCCATTGATGATTGTGGCAAAGTTTGGTTAAATTTGGCAAAGTAGTGTCAGAGGAGCTGTAAAGGATGAAGATAACAGACAATGAATGACAAGTGATGTATTGTTTAATTTTTGTGGGCCCATTTTTTTTTTATATATTTTTGCACACCATTATTCTCTATTCTTGATTTTTCAGGCCTTTTATTTTTTATTCTTATAACCCCAACCAGGCCCTCACATATTGGTTTCAGATGTTATGCTCCATTCTTCCTAGACACTTATCATATCCTCCTTTCCTTCACAAACACAACCACACTACATTTTTACACATCAGATTACTGTATTCCAATTCATCCCAGAGTTCATCTCCTGGACCAGTTAAAATCTTTGTAGAAGGATTTATCTTGCTCAATCTGTGGATTTTTATTTGTCTAATAATGTGTTTTGTCATTTGATTAATGATTACCAACATTGTATGCTTTTATGTTTTCATAATCTGTAAAATTTTATTAATGTTCCATCATATTACCCACTTAAGAGTTGTTCACTTCTTTTCCAGAAAAACTAGGGATAAAACTTCAGATGATTTCAGATTGTTCATACATTCAACCTAAATGCAGGCAAATATGTTTGAGTTCTCCGTTTTGATGGAATTTATACAAATCAATATAAATTTATACATAATAGAATAACATTTTCAATAGAAATGTCAGGGTTAGGGATTAATCTCAAAAATGTACTTTTAGGGTCATTGCTAGTTATATGATTGGAACAAAATGAATGATTTTTTGAACAAATGAGCTTTCAATTATTGGTTATCTTCTTGGCATGCCCCGCCCAGCTTGTCCATTCATTGGTCTGATTCCATGTGGGGGTCCACCCCCTCTGTTATGCTGTGGGTTCATCAACCTTGGATCGTGTGGAGCCATTCTTGGATCTTGTGGTCTCGTGTTCTGGAAATTCATTCCACCTAAATAGCAATAGTTGTATAATCTTAAAATGATGTCAAATGTCTGACTCTTCTAGGACAGATACTTTCTTATGACATTACAAATGGCAAAGTTCATATCAGATGTAACTACATGAAGTGTTAGCAAGAATTCAATATTTAACTTTTAACTTGTATATTCAAATTATTCTATAATTTTACTAAATGAAACAAATTTTCATCTGATACATAACTATTTTTATATGTTTTGTAGCATTTTAAAATTTTGCCTTCAGTAAAATTTTCTGACAAAGAGTTCATATGAAAAACTTCTGTTACAAAAAGGTAAGTATCTGAAATTAAGGGCAATTTCTAGTGATACAGTTAAATGCAAGCAGTGGCGGATTCAAGGGGGGAGGTGGTTTCGGGGGTTGAAACCCCCCGTTTTTTGTCGATCAATGCTTTTGAATGGTAAAATATGGTTGGAATCCCCTTTATCCTTGGTTAGAACCCCCTTTTAAAAAAGGCTGGATCAGCCCCTGGCAAGGATGTTCACAACTAAATATTAGGTCTTATCAATAGACAGAAAACTGCTACCCTCCCCCCCCACCCCCCACCAAAAAAAAATATATAGCTGATAACAGGTCCTAAAAAACCTTTTAGCATTTTCAAAACAGAACAAACAGTCTTCAGACAGACAGTAAATCTGTAAAATTTTTAATTTTCTTATATAAGTCAAATCTCTATAAAACACTTTTGTGTAAATTTGACAGTTATATGAACTAAATTTAAAAAAAGCATTGAAGATTTTTGCTTTTCTCCAGTATAAAACTATGTCTTACTTTGGCAGTTGTCATAATTTTCAATTACATTTAGATCACAAAATTTTCAGAATGACAAGACAATGGTCAAAATACAAACTTCATTTGATCATGTGAATATTACAGACTTTAAATAATGATCACATTGCAGGCAAATAGGTAAAATGAGTACCACATCTAATAATACAAAATAATTTGCCCTTATATGTTAAATCTGTACATAATATCTTAAGAACTTAACCAAAAAGCAAACAAAAAAAAATTAGCCCAAACTATAATAACAAAATTTAGTGGCAAATATTGCTTTGTTAGATGATTTATATAACAATTGGATGTACATTAGAAATACAACAGCAGATGTTAATTAGAGAAATGAATAGCTCTCAAGGCCAATAGGGCCAGTTCAAAAATCAAAAATCAACAAAATATTATGCTAGTACGGTTGTTTACGTTATGACCAAGTCAAGCAAGTTTAAGTGTAAATCACAACATTCACCATATATAAATGTAGAAATTACCTATTAAAAGTGGCAGACCATATTTCCAAACTTTTTTTAATTTAAAGGAATTTGATATATATAAAAATAAGGAGATTTGATATGATTGCTAATCAGACAACTATCCACCAAAGTTCAAATGAAGTGGATGTAAGCAATTATAGGCAAATGTATGCATATATATGCATGTTTGTGGTTAAATTTGTATTTTTAATGACTGAATATTTTTAGACCAAGATGGCTGGAAGTTCTCATTATTTAACATTATCCTTAGAAAAAAGGTTTGTTTAACCAGACCTGGAGGTGTTCCCATTAATGGAGGTCTATTACTAGTTTGTATAGATGGGTTCTGTGATGCATTCCCCTGCTGGTTTTTGGCATCACTGCCCTCTGTTGGTGATTTTCTTTGGGTTGGTGGCTCATTCTGTAAAATGTATTACAAAATATGTTAGACAATCATATATAATAAAAACAAGTATCTACAATCTATTAACTCAGGGACTCGATTTTTGAGTGTAATACATGAAGATGGATGTGTTAAACAATAACCTTGCATAAACCTGACTAAATTAAAAAATTTTTTCAATGTTGTCATTTTTCCTAAATAGACAACTTTCGACTTTGTTGCATTTCCGTCAAAAACTTTGGTTTTAGTGTTCAGCAATTGTGCATTTAGAGGCATAGTTACTTCCTTCCCATGTTGAGTGAGTGGTTGAAAAAATATGATGCTGTATTGCATGAATTATTCTGCAAATTAAATTCTTATAATTGATAATCAGCACTGCTGTCATTAGGGAATTGTGATTACGTACCAACGGAACAAACATTAATTCTAGTTTATCCTTCATAATGACGATCATGAAGACACTTGATGAACTTTAATAGTGCAGGGATACAGGTGGTCCCCTCTATCTGGTAAATGACGTCATAAAGGCGTGCATAATTGACGAACTTTTCTGGTGAAGGACATAACTCTTAAGTGTCTATTGCAACAGAATATGTTTTAAAAAATCAAAACTCAAAAGTTTAAATTTGATAGTATCATTTGTATGCTGCGTTTCTTGATATAGCAATTATTATTAATCTCTCAATTTTGAAAATTGTTCAAAAATTGCAATAATAAATTCACCCAAAAATGTCTGAATTTACAGTATTGCACTCTGCTTTAAATGTCTTATTATAATTAGATTGCATGACTATGGCTCAAGAGATTCTGTTCTTATTGCTTTGTATAAATATATGAACTACTCATTACTGTAAAATCAAACAACAAAGTCTCTAAAACATAATATTTCAGATATATATTGGATTTAGTGTTGACAATTTTCATTCCTACCCTTATACATTTTATGGACTTATTTTTTATTTCCACTGTTAAAAGTCTGGACATTTTTGGTAAAGCACTATTAAAAGTCCAAATTATTTCCCAATATAGTCCTCATGTTAAATTTTTTTTTTTAATTTCTGCCAGGAGGCAAGAAAAGAGTATATTAGTTGGGGTAGCTCAAATATTACAAACCAGTGTTCAATTATAATTCAAGCATGCATCTGTCTGGCCAACCATTGAATGTAGTCACAGGTAGATAACACATATCAAAATCATTATCCTGATTCCAACAAATAATAACCTGTTACAAAACTTAAATATGACAGACCATTGAATATAGTCAAAGGGAGATAACACTTATCAAAATCAATATAATGATTCAATCAGAAGTGAAATATATAATTTATAGGGTTAGACATTTTAGATTTGTCCACATAGAGGTGCTTCTTTTCTAAAATTGTTTATAGTTTCAATAAATTAAAATTTCTGATCAAATGTACGTCATTTCAAACCAGGCTATCACTTTCAATTAAAATGTACACGGTTTCCAGGGCCATTTGATTTTTTCGAATAGATCTATAACTGTTTAAAGGACTTATGGTACAACCACCAACCTCGAAATTTATAATGAAAACCTAAACTTAAAACACAGAATTGATAGCAGATCTTTGATTGTTGATGACCTACCCAAACACAAAAGGGGTGGGAAGGGGTTTACTATTTAAAAGATTTCTAGACTTGGAGTGATTAAGAGCTTCACATATACATAGTCATGATAGTAGGCACTTGTCCTTTGCTGAAGACATAAAGTATGCTAAATGTCATCAGAGGCAGATTTAGGGGAGCTACATTTGAGGTAAACACAGATTTTTTTACCTGTTCCACTCCAAACATTACCGCCCCCTTTGAAAATCCTGGATCCACATCTAATCATTGGGTTGCTGTCATTCACATGTACCCCAGATCTCCTTTTATTCTCAAGATATAACTTACAAACAGAAAATAGTATCAATGATAAATACCTTCACAAAATCAGGATTAGGTTCACTCATATTTGGTTGTTCACTGAACTGCAAACAAAATCTGAAATGAGAATAAATGAAAATATACATAGCTTAAGTCTTTCATGTGTGCTTCTAGAATCTATAATCACTTCTCAGCTTTTTCAATAATATTTTTACTAGATAAAACATTTCCAGAATTGGAGGCAACATTTTTTAGAGCTAGAATGTCCTGGGCAGCTTTAGATGGACCAGAGCAGTTGGTGGAATAGAGAGGTCATTCTTTAATGTTTAAGTGGATCTTGAGTGTTCATCTGCAATCATAGTTTAATACTGAATATATATGTTCATATTTTGCAAATAACTGGCTAATAAATTATAATGTGTATTCATTTATATTTTGTGGGTGGAAAAAAAATTGCATATTCATGGATATTTGATTTTGAGGTTTTACCAAAATCTACAAACAAAGGTATTAACTTTTTTTTTTTACATTTTTGATCGTTTAAATTTGTGGTATTCATGTACCCACCAGTACCACGAGAATTGGTATCCCATGAATCCACAGTCACAATACTTATTTTTTTATCATGTTGAATGGCTTTTTTTGTTTTGTTGAAAGTATATACATGTATAACTGGCTGTGGTACTATGTGATCAAGGGAGGTATAAGACTTGTTCCTTAATACTTAACTTTAAAACAAAGAAAACAAGATATTAAAAATAATGTAAAAGATCTTGTAGTCAAACAATTTTGTCTTAAAAAAACTTATTTTTATTTTTTTTTTATTTTTGACTATCCTCCTGGTTCATCCATCCACTTTTCAGAATCTACTTAACCGATTCTTCTTAAAATTGGTTCTCAGCATGAATATGCCACATGTAATACCACATGTATTGCCACTAGACAGTAATCATATAACAACTTAACATTCAATAAATAATCTTACTCTCCAATTTTTGTAATTTCACCAATTTTGCCAGTGTACAATGTTAAACAATTCTTCCATACATTGGAATATCTGAAATAGAATGCATATTTCATTTTATTAAAATAATTTAAAGTGTTACATGTATCTGATTTCTTTTTATAAAACTCTAGCCTTTAATTTATTGAAAATAATGCACTATTATGATGGCATACATGAAAACAAAATAACACATTACATAATACATCACACAAATAATAAAGAAAGAAATGAATTTATATATGTACATATTATGCAGTTGTTGAATCCACTCTCCCCAGTGACCAGGACTTTTTAATAAATGGTGCAGCATACCGCATAACTGACAAGACATGAAAGACATAAAACCAAGTTATCCATCTCGTCTATATATTTGAATAGTTTTTATATTTTTTTTTAAGAATTCAAGTCTCAAATTTTCATTTTGTTTACATTTAAATAAGAAATGATCTTCATCATCTATTTTATTTAAAGAACAATGTTGGCATAAATGTTCTTCTCTTTTTATGTTTCTGTACCTCCCCCTTTCAATTTGCAAAATATGGTCACTTACCCTTAATTTAGTAAAGCATTTCCTGGTTTCATTTTTAGTTTCTTTAAGTAAATATGGTTCAATTTCATAATGCTTTTTAACTTTACTATAAATTTATCATTTATTATTTTCCGTTAAAGAGTTTAATTTCTTAAAGAACAACTTTTTACAGTTTCTAATCTCCTTCATGTGCTTATTTATTTTATATTTTTCTTGTATAAAATTAATATTTTCTATCTCTGATAATTCAATATTAATTTCATGAATTATATTTTTGACAAAATTTAGTAATACACACAATTATTTACACTGAAAGGGGAGTCAATTCCAGAAAATTGTGACTTTATTCGTTAATTGAATAATTATGGCACTGCAAATTTTTATGTTTCAAATCTTTTGAGGTTATGTGTAAACATTACAACAATTGTAACTCTCAAAATCATATCTAAAGTTTTAAAGGCCAACATAATTCCAATAATATTATAGGTGTAAAGTAAAATACCCTTTAGTAAGTTTACAAATATCTCCAGTTTGCAGCAGATCACCAGCTTCATCCCATATAGATATGTTAATAGAACCAGACTTATCTGCAACTTTTACTGAGCGGACATCGTGACCATCTTTAGTTCTTGTGGGTTTACCTAAAATGAGAAAATCAGTAGAACTACAAGCTTCTCGAACCTGTCCAACTGTGTACCTAACAATAAGTAAAAGTTTGGTATCTTTGAATCAAAAGAAAACATGTCTTAATCTGAGTAAGGACTAAGACATGCCTTTGAAATAAATTATAAGATAAAAATAAGACAAGCAATTTAAATAAAGGTAGATTACAACATAGTGCTACTAAAAGTTTTTTTTCTTTTACTTCATATGTATTATTTAACAGTAAAACAATAAAAGACAAATTTATAATAGTGTTCTATACTATAACACATATATTTACAGAAATCCAGTACACTGTTTTATTTATATACAATAGCTATAGATTTCTTATTTATGAGGGAAAGCTGAATTAGTTGTTTTAATGGCATTTATGTCACAATTGAATTTTTAATTTGTTTCAAAATTTGTACATTACATTTTTACCTTTTCCATGGTCAAAATAACAAATATCAAATTAAAAACCAATTGTTCTCAACCAATTGTTCAGAGAACAATTGAAGGTCTTTCCACAGCAATTTTTAAATTTATTGAAAAGAAGCTAGTTCGTGCTTACTCTAAGTTAAAATTGGCATCTTATCATCAGTTTCTTCATACTGATGCGATAAATAAATGGTTTCTATATACTTCTGAGTGAAATAAGGGAAATAATTAGCTACTTCCGGTGAAGTAAATGTCACTTCTGGTCTCATATAATAGTTTCTTTCACACTGATTCCAAAAATATATATAGTTTCTATATACTTTTGCTTGTAAACCAGGAGATAGTTGGCCACTTCTGGTTTATCAAAAGTCATTTCTAGTCTTCAGTGATAAGTTAATGTATTAAAATTACAAAATATATGGATTCCGAGTACTTTTCCATTAAGAAAGTGCAAAAAATGGCTACTTCCGGTTTTCTCAAGGTCACTTCTGGTTGTCATTTTTCAAGTTCATATGTCATCCAACCTTTTGAAAAAGGTCATATGGCTTTATAATGAACCAAGTTGAAGAAGTAATCAATTAACCTTATAATTGGACATTTCAGGGGCACTTACTCCTATATGATGTCATTAGAATGTTTCAGACCAAATTTAACATATCTTCATTACAATAAAGCAAACATTTTGCACTTGTTGTTTCATATATATCTTTAAAAGTGTTTGAGAAAATGCAAAAACAAGGAAAAGTCAAAATTAAGAACTTGACCTTGACCTTTGACCTTGAGCTCATTTTCTAAGTTAGGACCTAGGGATCTCAAATAAAAAGATTCCAGGGTTATACGGTTAATGGTTAATGAGTTAAAAAAACATACTGACAAATTTATTTGGTAAAGGTAGATACATGTAACTCCTTTAAAATTTCATTGAATCGCTTCGATCCAAATTAGCCAAAAATTCCTGAGGATGTAACGTACAATTTAGAAAAAGAATTTTGTCGATATCTTTTTTTGTTACGAAGCAGATGCACACACTTGATAAACAGTGAATAGGGAGATAACTCTTACAAAGAAAATTGTTCGGCTTAGAATGGGTGAAAATTAATCAGAACAAATACAATAGGTCTTTCCACAGAAAAGTGGAAAGATCTTATGATACCTTGCAGTAAGAAAATGGGGACTTTTGCAACTTGCATGCGATCTTAAAAAAATAAGAAAGAACTTTTGGGATTTACAAAATGTTTTATTTGACATTATTAACTGTAAATAGCATGTGTACTGACAGACTTTTTGTTATAACTCAAGTATGATTTTGTTATAAAAAACAAGTTGTTTAAATATGTTACCTTTTTGCTGTAAGGTGTGTATGTGTTTGTGATTTTCTTATTTTGTTAAACAGTTAAAGCCTGTTATTAAAAGCAGACTTATATTTTTACCATTATGTCTTTGTCTAAACTAAGTCTCTCAAAATAAACTTTTAAACAATTCTTCAGATATATGCCTTTAATTTTAATATTATAAATTGCAAAAAAAAACTCAATCTTTCAATTTAATGAATGAAATTATGGTACAATTTAATTCTGTTTCTCCCTTCTAGAACCCCAAATTTTCCGCCAATGAATGGTTGACCCCTGACCTCTAAATACCGGAAAACTCCTCGTTACACTGAAAGTAAAGAAAAAAGAATCATACATTACCTATTTCCAACACTATAAACATTACGTTTATGTTCTTCTGAGACGGTCGGACTTCTTTGATCGGCATATACTGGGGTTCCGTCATTCTGCTATCAGAAAAGCAAAGACAAAGTGGGGATCCAGTTAGGTTTAGAAAATCTTCGTCAACTTTTCCTCAATTCGTTGGCTTTCATAGTTGTTGCAAAATCTACGAGTATTTTGAAAGTTTCGTTTTGTCTGATTCGACCTCAGTAAAATTTAGGTAAAATATCTCGAGTGGTTTGAAACTTTGTCGTTATTTTTATCTGTATCGATTGTCTCCCTTTAAGTCTTTTGTTGTCAGATCGTATTATACAAAATTCTAGATCTATATCAGTCGCCACGGTTTTGATATCTAATGACGACTTTCAGCAATAGTTATGGTTATTGTATAAAGTAACCGCTTTGTGTCAAAAGATTATCGAATGAGTTCAAAGATAGATGCTCACGTCCGACTACCGCACGTTGCAAAAATATAATGATCCGGGCACTTCGAACAGGGAAAATAACCCAAGTTGCCGCGAAATTTAATTTCATGAAAAATTAAAATGTGTTTTACAACTTGACCGCCAATTACTTAACCGTTGATTTCTTCGGTTACTTTAGCCAGTCAACTGTGCTAATGGAGCAACCATTTAACTTCAAAATGGGGGGGGGGGGGGGGGGGGGGGTCTGAGTCAGAAAATCTGAACATTTTTTAAAATAGTTTTTCGACGCTATCAATCACAAATTATTTATTTTCAAAATTTTCCAATAACTGAGATGGGGATTTTTTTTTACAAGATTTGAGCTATAACATTCTGCATTTCAAACATGCCGCAAAATTATAGCTTTTTTGATGAATACACTAAATCAGTATCATATTATTCAGCAGAGGTGTCCAGTAACATTTGATTCGGATGTCATATATATACAAACATATGTTTGCTTTTGATACAGGTAGGAAAGAGACATTTACACACATTTTACATGCCTATGGCCCATAAGGTATCGCCCCCTGGTGTCAGCTGCCTTTAGGAAACCATAATACTTTCCTATTTGCGAGGACTCTATTTGCTGCTGACAAAGGATGAGTCATGGACATACTTAATTTCTACTTTCTTTTTGGCTATATATTAAATGTTTGATTGATCCAACTTTTTGTGTACTATACATATATGGATATCTATTTTTCTTTTTTTCTTTTTGGGCTGCTTGTTTGTTATCTATATCAACCGCACTTGCAATAAAATGCATTAGTATTAAAAAAAAACATACTATAGATTCTTTATCTACGTATTCTTTAAGAACTTAAATAGTTCTCGTTAAACTTTTTTTTTATCTCATTGTTTGTATTGTATTATGAAAAATTATTGATGTTGTAATGTTTATGACCTTTGGGGCCCATAATTGGAAATAAAAAAAAAATATCTTATCTTATACCTCTTTTGTAATTATATCTTTGGCTTCAATGGTTGTTTCATGTAAACATGACTGATCTTTTGATGTTTTAGTTTTTGCAGGTTTTCTTGAAGCTGTTCTGATTATACCCCTTTCCATTTAATAAAAACACTGATAAAACTAATAGCTGTTTCCTTAGTAAGAATATTTAGGAATAAGAATATGGGCAGCATGGCATGTACACATAAAACAATACATCATGATTTGATTTTATACATTGAAATGAAACATTAAAAATTTCAGACATGTTATTATCTCCATTCTAAATAAACCATATACATTTAATTCCAGGCAGGACCAGAACCATAAAATCATTACAATTATCATTGTTATTACATACATTGATTTACATTTCGTCTAACATCTAGACATGCAATAATATAGTTCCATAAATATTTAAGTACAGATAAATTTTCATTAGTAAATAACCAAACAAATTTTGCCTCATTTAAGAGATATGAAAAATTAGGACAAATTCTGTTTATCTCCTAGAAAAATATCTCCTTATAATCTTTGTATGCTAGCTGGACAACTAGTAATAAAATGTTGTTGTTATATGATTATATATATTTAATCGTAAAACTCATGATCTTAACATGTCTTTATACGTGTGTTATTTTCCTTTTTGACCTGGAGATATGAACTAAGGCGACCCACAACCAACGCTTCACCCTAAAAACAGAGAAAAAAAAACACTTTTTTTTGGAACGAAAGACATTATTTTGTTTCGCCTCGCACCACTCGGCTTAATTGCTTATACGATTATCCTGAGTTTCGACATGTTCTTCCAGGAAAGCGTTTTTCAATAAGGATACGAACAATGTGCTGAAATTGAATGAAAGTGTGGTATAAATGTAAAAACCAAATTAAGGTCCCCGAAGTCACAAACAAGTACACCACTTGAAGCTCTAGATCAACTACTGATGCAATATGTTATTGAAACAATAATAATATGAATAGAAATTTTATGCATGTTTTCTTTGTTTTGTTATAAAGAATTAAAGTATTGAGAAATATTGGGGTGAAATGTTCATGTCTTTGGAAGGGAATGCCTTGAATATATTTCCTCTTTCAGCTACACTTCCTATGTTTCCTCCCAGCCCCCCCCCCCCCCTAATAAAAGAAAATGACCAGTCCCTAATATCAGTCCGGGATAAATTTTGCTCAATATTGAGTATACTCATAATTGGGATTGCAACTCCCTCGTTTTGGCTATTTATGTAATATAGTACTGAGGCTACTATAATTGCTATAACTGTAATGTTGATAAGCTTAAAATGATATGTAGTTTTATATATAGTCATGTGAAACATTTTAGTGATGAAATCCAAATTGCACCTATACATCTTGACGGCATTTTTTTTTTAACATACGTTTATTTAAGATCCAAACAAAAGTTTCCATTCTATGATTATTTTGCAAATGTATAGTTTTGAATCCATACAGAATCATAGAAAAATTGGTTTGAACTGACCCGGTCCAAACGCCCCAAGAGTCTGTAATGAGGAGTACCTAAACTGCATCCATGCTTAAATTCACATCCGTAAAAATCGAATAACGAATGTTTTGTTTTTATTCACCCATGCACATTTTTCGAATAATTTGACAATAGTCCATGCTTACTATTCATTTTGTAAGAGATGAATGGCTGTGACATATTCTATAATGACCCATTTTTAACGTTTCCGTGTTATTTACTTTTTCGTTGAATACTTCATCTGACCGTTTTGTGTATATCTAAATATATTTAGCAATGTTGAAATGAAGACGTGCATAATGGCAAATTATAAAAATACAAAGGGATTTGTCTCTAAGAAAACATAAGATTGTATTTCCGCTGCTTTTTTTTTGCGCGCCAAATGAATGCAATTTGGTTTCTTTGACTTTAAAATTTGGCTGTATTAACTTATTGAATTAAAAGTCAAACACATATAAGCTCTAAATAATTGAAATGGAAGATATGAATTCTTTTTTATTTCTTCTTTTTTATAACTGAAAATGTTCTTATGGGCTTGGAGAAAATTTAATTCTTACTATATAGTTTTGGCGTGTACTGAATTTATAACGCTAAATATCTTTTAGGGACTCTGTGTAAAAGAAGTGAACAAGTAAAAAAAAAATCTCCATAGACTATATTATCAGCTTTTCTCATGTTAATAAAAGCAGCAAAGTTATTCTTTTAATTCGATATATATACCGGTAGGCACAACAATAGTCATGACCATCAGATATACTCCGTGAATATTTTTTTTTAACAAAAAGTGTATGCGTGTAAAATTAAGGAAAACGTCTGAAGTGTTTTATTCAAAGATTTTTGATATTATCTAAGGTTCTTGTCTGAAAAGTACCATGCAAAAGCGGCCAAGCGTCAACAAAACATGACAGGTGCGTTCGACCACAATCTTATTTTAATTGACTAGGATTACAAGTTTTCCTACCGTAGTTCGTTGGTTCTCCTCTTGCACTCCGGCCTTCCTCCCAGTGGCGTAGCTAGGTAATTGTTACGTGTACGCCCGAACCTCGGCGAGGGGTCTGAGGGCCCCATCGGGCCCAGGCCATAGCACATGTTGGAAGTGGGTTCGAGGGGGCGAAGCCCCCGGAAGCTAACGAGTTATCGAGAATAAAATACCATTCCTGTCATTAAAAACTCATCAATAGAAACATACGTTAGAAAATGGTTTATTTTTATGTTTAATTTTTTCATTGTGTTAATTTGGAATCTAATGGTCATTGGTTTCAGAGAAATTGTCCAAACCAGTTACTTTAAAATGTGGTTCAAAAGGAGCCGTGGGGTAAAGCAATCAATTGACAAAAAAACTTTTCATAAGTAAATTTCGTTAATAAAAATAAAATAATTAATTTTCATAGATGTTCAGGGGCAATATTAAAATTCGTAAAGGGTTCTGTGGAAATTCTTGACTGGGATTGCTTCCCGCAAATAGTGAATTCATTTATCAGTCCATTACAAGATTTTAAAAAATCCATGTAGTTTCTTTAGACTGTTTTTTTCTTGATCTGGAATATTAAATTCTGCCCAAGTTTCATGACAATCTAGGAAGGTTTATAAATTTATCATGTGAAAAAAAATCCAGGACCGTCTGTTAATTGCGTAAAGATAAGTCGGTCTGTCAGTATAATTCTGAAAAATGAAAATAAAATATACTTTCAAAATTTTGCTTCAGACATTAATCATAAAAAAGCTTCTGCCAAAGTTTCATGAAATTAATTCGATGAAGGTTTGACAAAGTTACTGATGTGGAACAAACTTTAACCCCAGACTACATCTACTTGTTAACTGCAAAAAGAAATTCCTTTTGTCCGTAAAATACGGGAAAATTACACATATAATTACATCATTATACTCTTTTGATAATAAAAAGTTTCTTTAAACAATTGCAAAGTGAGTAAAATTCACAGTAGATTCAGACTTTGACAGAAAATTAACAAATATATAATATGATACCATTTGAGCGTCGATCCTGACGTGTTAAAACCTATCTCAGATCTACAATGGACAAAAACGGCTATCATCTCTAGCACTGTTGCACTTTCATGCTGCATGATTTTGAAATTGCTTGAAAGAAGTTGTTGAAATATTTGGTAATACTAGACTAAGAAAAATGTTGCTTGCATAAATGAAACTAGTAAATTGTTGTTATTTGTTGTTATTTGCAAATGCAATTTAAAAACCATAGGTTAACCCTTGACATATCTTTTATCATTTTATTTTTTTGTCGTTTGGTTGCTGTCTTATATATACCCACATCTTCGTTAATTCACATTAAAAAATGGAGGCTACAGATTTCAAAAATTCGCTACATGAATTATGTGTTTAACCCAAGATGAAGTCAGGAAGTCAGCTTGTATGTCTTAATAATTTGATAATCTTCGAAATTTGGTGTCAATGACAGATCTTAATAGTCTCTGTTACATTTATTAAGAACTTTGTTGATCGGGTCCAGGGGCGGATCCAGCCATTTTTAAAAGGGGGTTCCAACCCAGGATAAAGGGGGTCCAACCATATGTCCCCATTCAAAAGCATTGATCTTCAAAAAAAGAGGGGGTTCCTTATTTATCGGTATGTCAACCAAACTTTCCATCCATTTCATTTGAACTTTGGTGGATAATTGTCCCATTGGCAATCATACCACATCTCCTCATTTTTATATTGAATACTTGGCGGATTGTTTTGAGTCAGTATGATTTGTTGTACAGACTCTTCTTTCCATGTACCGTACGAATCAATCTTAAAAAGGTACAAGTATTGGTTTTATTGATGCACTTTTTTTGTATTGACTTTTTTTGTCATCAGCTGACTTCTGTGGTCTCAGTCATCATAGCGGCCTAAACCAGCAACGCTCGAGCCTATGACTATAAGCCAATGGTGATATCTAATTCATAAAATTATGTTACGGCCTACATAGCCAGTATACAAGGTTTCATAATGTCTGTATCACTCCCTGAAGGTCGATTGTCTTCGTCGTGTTCTCTGGCATATACTCAATAGGCAAATTTCTAAAGTCGTATAATTATATTGATTTATAAATAAATTGTCGTCAATGAATCAGTCCAATACTCTTTCCGCGTCAATGAGGGGCCTGATGGGGGGTCTCATCACGATTCACGAGTTGATTTTTTTGTCAATCACGATTCACAGAAAATAAATTTCCATGATCACGGATCACGAAAATATAAAAAAAAAAATCTGTAGAAAAACGGATCACGATAGCGAAAATGCGCCGATCACGAAGAACGAAAATAACCCATCAGGCCCCTCGTCTATATATCGAGGTATAACTAGACCAGGCCATTTCACATAATTCTAAAGAAAATGACACAAAACATAGAAATTTCCAATAATCAAAATTGTTCTGACTTGTATTTGCTAAATCTTCTGAGCAAGCGGAGGGCTTCGCCCCTTTAGCTACTACCTACAGACCCCTTGCCGGCAGATTCTGTGTGCACTTTTCTATGCCACTGCTAAATAAACTGGTTCATGAAAATTTTAATCTTAGGTAATGAAATTATAGGTCCATACAAAGTAACTGCATTACAGAAATCTCTAAAAGTGTTTGTGTACAGGTTCTGTAATGTAAAGATTAGTTCCCATGTGCACGCGAACGATAACTGTCTCGGTTAAAAAGCACACCGTGTGCCGTTCTATATGTTACAATTATGTAAAAAAAAAAAAACAAAAAAAAAAAACAACAACAATCCAAGCAACAGTGTGTCCGACACTTTTACAGTTCTTACCTGTTGTTTGAATTATATTTTGTTTTACAAGTATAATCTGTTCGTTTCTTAAACACTTTTTTACGTTGGTCCTGGAACTATTATAATGTTTTAGTAGTCTCACGGGATGGTCATGAGATGGTCACTATTAAAAACAAAGTGGGACTGATGATAACACTTTTTACTCTAGATCTGTTAATGAAGAATATATGTACATAGGGGTATTGTAGTAAATCTGGAACTATTATACTAATATATATTATATCCCAGAGTACCTGACGTGATTTGGACCATCTTCAGTCTATTTTGGACGACACGTATATATCGGAGGCTTTACTTATCTCTTTTCTATATTTGTCAGTTTCTTTAAATAATTGGTAAAAAAATATGGCTAGGCAATATATATATATATGATATCATAAAACATGATAGTTTTCTCGTTGGCAATCTCCTTATAATTTTATATTACAATGAAGTTAAATTGATATAGTTTTGAAACTTAAAATCTCTTTATGTACAGACTCATATTAAAACAGATCGAGCAAGAAAAAATGAAATTTGAATATCATTTAATTATATTTTTTTCTGGAGAGATTCCACCTTTCATCATAAAATTGAGAATGGGAATGGGGAATATGCCAAAGAGACAACAACCCGACCAAAGACGGCAGATAACAGCCGATAGCCACCAATGGGTCTTCAACGCAGCGAGAAAATCCCGCACCCGGAGGTGGTCCTCAGCTTGCCCCTAAATAAAAGTGTGTACTGGTTCAGTGAAAATGGAAGTCACACTAAACTCCAAAACATATAAAAGAACTAAAATAAAAAAAAAACATACAAGACTAACAAAGGCCAAAGACTCCTGACTTGGGACAGGCGCAAAAATGCGGCGGGGTTAAACATGTTTTGTTAGATCTCAACCGTCCCCCTATACCTCTAGCCAATGTAGAATAAAGAAACACATAGCAATACGTATGGCAAGCCGTTCTCGTCAAAACTGTGTTTTGACCATTTTTCGAAAAATTTACACACTGAGACTGAATTAAAAAAAAACACAATGAGATTAAAAAACCTAAAAACACACACTGAGAATTAAAAATTACCCACTGAGATTTCATAAAAACGCACTGAGATTACAAAAAATGAAAAACACACACTGAATGACTGAGAATTGAAAATTACACAATGGGATTTCAAAAAGACACACTGAGATGAAATAAACTGAAAAACACACACAGATAATTTGAAATTACACACTGAGAATTTAAAATTATATATGTATACACACTGAGATTTGTGCGCACATATCTAATTAGCATATACTTAATTTGAATCTATAACAAGCTTAAAACAACTAGGGAACAGAACTCATTAGTCCTTCAATTTGGCGCTAAATGTTTTATAAAAAACATTAAAAATGCAACGCATAGAAAAACTACGTTATTAAAGACGAATTATAGAGCAAGAAAAATACCCACTTACTCTCATTACAAAATATAACCAAATGGTGAAGAACTTTATTAAAATTATTAAAAAAAAACATTGTAACAATCTGAAAAAATACAAACAATGCGGTGATTTTTTTTTCCCAAGTGCCTATTTCAGCATATATACGTAACAAAAATATAAAAGATTTCCTTGCGATATCAGGGTAACAGTTGAAAGACTTTTGGAAAGGGACCATGCTTAAACAGTTTTAAGCAAAAAATCCCGATATACTGTTAGTAATAATCTGAATTATAGGCAACAAACTTATGAATATGAGTGAGCAAAAAAAGTTGTTAAGTCTTGAAATTTATTTCGAATGTTGGTTGCAGAAAGCGCATTTCATTATAATGACACTTGAAGCGTTCGGGAGACCAAGATATTAATCTGTTGAATTATTCATCTCATGAATATTCATTAGTAATTTGCATATTAATCTCAGTGTATTTTTAAAATCTCATTGTGAAATTAACAATTCTCAGTGTGTGTTTTTCAATTTATTTCATCTCAGTGTGCCTTTTTAAAATCTCCGTGTGTAATTTTAAATTTTCAGTGTGTGTTTTTAATTTTTTTAAATCTCAGTGTGTAATTTGAAAATCTCAGTGTGTAATTTCGATTTCTCAGTGCGTAATTTCGATTTCTCAGTGTGTTATTTTAGGTTCTTAAATCTCAGTGTGATTTTTTTAATTCTCAGAGTGTATAATTTTTTCGAAAAAATAGTTTAAACATAGTTTTGACGAGAACGGCTTGCCATAAATACGCACAGTAAACTCAGTTTATAAGAAGTCCGAGTCCGATGTCAGAATAGGTAACAAAAAAAAACTAAGAAAAATGACAATGATACATAAATTAACAAAGGACTACTAGCAAATACTGACATGCCAGCTCCAGACCTCAATGAAACTGATTAAAAGATTATGTCTTCATAATATGAAAATCATGGCAGGTAAATTCCCTCCCGTTAAGGGTTTAGTATCATCAGAGACATATATGTGTATATATGTCTCTGGTATCATACCATCATAAAATATATGAGAAGACCATAACCCGTATCATGCCAACAACTGGTTTTAGAATAAATGTGTTTATTTCTGATGCAAAGACCCTATGAGTGAATCAATATTAATACCAAAATATGCAATCCTTAATGACCTGACAACAGTATCGTAACTATATCCCTTCCGAATAAGCCTGTTTAAAGGTTTGGTTAGCTTTTGAGAAGAATGCCGACATGTTTGTGCTTTGTAAAGAATATTACCATAAAATATTGGATGTGAAATACCTGAACGTATAAGATGTCTGCCGCGATGATGTCGATTTATATTTACGAATGATGCCCTTGTACCGATGACAAAATTTAGTAAATGTTTTGACTAGTTTGTGATATCGAAAACCCTGGTTTTATAATTTTTCAGTAATACAGAGATTTTTATCAAACATTTTTCAATATATTTGTGATCTTCACATGGGATATGGGCTCATTCATTATGTGCCTGTCCCATGTCAAGAGCCTGTTGTTCAGTGGTTGTCGTTGGTTCATGTCTGTCATATTTGTTTTTCGTAAACTGTTTTGTTATACATTAGGCCGTTAGTCTATCTGATGACAATAGCAACGCCATTTTAATGGATGATGACTATTAAGATCTATTAACAAGAATATACCTATATTTTTCAGTCTTCTAAATAAAATATCATGTTTAAAATTAACATTTTTCAGACAAGTGAGGCCCATACCCTCATGGGGGTGTCCAAATAATCACCGTGATGATAATCAATATAATCACATAATCATTAATTATTTTTTTAAAACAAGATAATCAAATTTTATAATCAAAAATACAGTCGTAGATTATCAAATAATCAAATAATCATGAAATATTTGGTCTGTTAATCAAATAATCACTATAAAAACGGCCAGAGACATATATACACATATGTGTATATATGTCTCTGAAACGGCCAAGTAATCACATTTATAATCAAAAACCCCATGAGGAAGCTCACCCTTGGGATTCTACTGTAAACCCTTGTTCTTAAAAAGGTGCAATAAAACATATATTTGAAAGAAATGAGGGAGATAACTTCAAAATAGCTATAAAATATGAAACTTGAGGATTTTAATCAATTGATTTTCAATGTGTGAGCCACCGTGGTTCATCTTATGCCTGACCTCCCCCTTTTAATTTATTTGCCAAAGGGAGATTACTCAAGATCTCATGTGGGAAGTTGAAAAAAAATGGCCGACAGGAGGCGAAGGCCTCATTCAGAAGCCGAAAGTGATGAAGAGAGTACAGAAACGGGAAGTACCCAGAGTCCTCGTAAACCTCGACAGTCAGAATGTGTTAGTAGTCACCAGAAAAATTGATTGATTTACAAGTCCATTCATGAAAACCGTTTGTGTTTTGCTAAATTATGAATCGAACTAAATGTTCATTTCACATTTTATGAATACTTTTTATGTAATTTTATGTCTTACACATGGTGTGCATCGTGCTAAAATCGTCACACCCTATGAATTTCGTGGTTTAAGTTAACGTATCGAACATCATTTATAATGTTTACAAACAAACATGAATTCAAGAGTTCAAACATCATGAACATGTGCATGTACAAAAAATGATATACACAGGAAACATGTTAGAAAGTGTCCCCCAAAAATGACACTTTAGATATAAGTAAGGATTAACAGTACTGTAGTTGAAGAGTTGCTGTCATTAATTGGCGATATGATGGTTGCAATTGCTGATAGTTTTACTGGTGAGGTGACCATCAAATTCCAATTGATGGAGGCATCTCTTCAACATGTTCAAGTACATGTGTACTGTTTTTCCTATTCTAATTATGCATCACAAAAAGAAAAAGTATATTAGAGCTTGTAAAAATGTATATATTTAAGATGAAATAAGTTTCTACAAAACTTATGAATGATTTTTGAGCATTTATCATGTATATATATAAACATGTACATGTATAAATGTCATAGCATTTAAAAACAAGTAATATACAATATACATATACTTTGTACATACATAATAAACAAATTTGTTAGTTATTTCTTGGGAATAAACTGACTGTTTATTACCAAGGGCTAATTTCGACATCGATAATCACTGAATTCTCATATCTTAATTTATTCAGTCGGTTTAAAGTTTTTAATCAGGACAAAGTTTTGTAAAATACTAAATTTTAAATACTGCATTATTTCGTCATTTGTCAGGTAACAAAACAGAGATAACACTAGAGAGAATGCAATTAAGCAATCCAATACACAAATAATACACGATTGAATAATGAAAAAAACTATATTTTTTCATCATGGTTATTCATAAGACAAAATTTTCATTTTGTTTTCAAAATAATTAAAATACATATGAGTTTATATGCCTAAAATAACATATGAAGTCGCAGATTTGACAAATATTTTTGATATATTACTTACCGGAAGTCATATTTTAGCGACTTATTACGAAGCAACGGCTGGAGACTTAAGAAGATTTAGAATGTTCTAATAGTGTTCTTGAATTGGCATAAATTTGAATAATTTTCACGTTCTGACATTTGTTAAATTAACAAAAATCTGTGCCTTGTGATTTCGCAGAGATCCAATAAAAATTCCCGCCATTACAGTGCATTTATTTATTGATAAAATTTACTTTAAAAGGTAAAAAAAATAATGAAAATATTTCATATAACGTGATCTTCTATCATTGATAAATCTCTTTATTTCAAAGCTTTCTATATTTTCTGCGAGTGCAAGAGAGTATCTTTGATATTAAAACATGAACAAATCGATCTTTTACCAGATTCAAAATTGCCATGATTGCCGAGGGATGCTAAAATCGTACCACATGACCTAAAAAAAATTGCACACAGCACCTAAGGCTGTCGCCCCTCCTCTGTAGCAAAACATGACGATATACAAATGAAAACGCTCAAACCAAAGGTTATTTTTATGATTCAGTTTTGTATATTATTCCACTGTTTAAACATATTGATAGTTTAATCAATATTTGATTGGTTGAGACTATCCCACGTGTCATTGAACAAATCTTCATATTCCATTCTGAGGATCATATTCCCCTCTGAAATGTCTGGATTACTTCGTGCGACGTTAAGCGCGGTTAATGTACATAACGTTTTGAACTTCTTATTCTTCTTGAAATAGCGATAGCAAAAATCATTATCATGTTCAAATTTATTTCAGACGATAAAACAAAAAGACTTATAATTAAATTTTGATCCTTACTGTTTATCAATGGGTATGTCATGTTTAGTTTGACTTACAAAAACAAGCGGATAAGAAAAAAAATGTATGCAAAATAATATTTAATGTATTGATAGTAAACAAAGCATAGGCAGTGGAATAAAACATTCATTTCCCTTTGCCTGGGGAGAATTGAAGATTTGCTCACCCTCTAAAAATCATATTTCCCTCGGGCAGAGCCCTTGTGAAATATGAATATTCTTGGGTGAACAAATCTTCATATCTCCCTCTGGTACGGGAAATAAATGTATAATATCTCATTAAAACAGTGTTTTGAAGAAGGTGTTGATTTATTTGGACTATTTTCTATTAATCTAACATTTGTGGATTTCAACAATTTAAACATGTTAAAATGGTGGCTCAAGACATGCCAATTTTGGATTTGATGGTAAATTTTAGTCAATGAAAACACTGTTACATAAAGATTGCATTAGAATATAAAATCACAAATGCTGAGCTTCAGAAGGACACTAGTCTGATAAATTAAAATGTAGCTGCAGAACTGTAACTCTTATGGTCCTTATGATATTTTTTGACAATTTGCAGACTTCACAAATTGTAAAAAGATATCATAAGAACCATAAGAGATATGGTTCTGCAGCTACAATGTAATTAAAACCATGCTATTTAGAAATTTTATTGTCCCCTGCGGGACACGTCGCGGGGGACATAGAAATTCCATCCATCCAGGTTTGTTAGCGCTGTCACGTACAATTCTTGCCAGATTTTCATAAAACTTATATCATAGGTTTATATCAGCAATGTCTCGGACAAGTTCCACAATCAGTGCCGAGCAAGTATTTCAAAAAGAGTTTTGCCCCTTGGAAATATTAATTGTATGGAAAATTTCATTGTTAGCACTCTCATGTACAATTCTTGCAAGATTTTTATGAAACTTATATCATAGATTTATATCAGCAATGTCTCGGACAATTTGAAAATCAGTACCGATCAACTATTTTTAAAAGAGTAATGCCCCTTAGAAATATTAATTATATGGAAAATTGTATTGTTAGCGCTCGCATGTGTACAATTTTTGCCAGATTTTTTTATCAAATTTATATTAAAGGTCTATAGAAGCAATGTCTAGTAAATGTTCGAAAATAATGCTGATCAAATGTTTTTAAAGGATTGGAAATGGCATTGCAGGCGGAAACCCAGTTGAAATATAACAAAAGAATCGAAGCTCTTTGTTAGAGAAGGCGATAAATGCTTACAGTAATGTTTATTCTAGTAACAAAATTTTTAAAAGTTAATAGAAACAAATAAAATGACAGTTTTCGGCTAAATCATGTAAATTACGAAGTATTTTATCATAAAAACACAATTTGCATAAGTTTTCAATTTATCTATTACATAATTTAGCAGAACAATTAGATATCAAGTCGACGACATGGGTGTCTATTCAGTTGGATCTAAAAAATGCATAACCTCCGATTTTTTTTATATTTTTTTTTACCACGGACGGAGAACATATCAATATATTTGTTCCTTAATTTTCGTTTCTGCCCTTCTATTGTTTAACTCAAGAAAAAATTTTAAAAAATGGGTAACAATTGCATCGAAAAGATAAAATCGAGTGCACTTTTTTATGTTAGGGCGTGTTTGAGTTAAATATTTTCTATTGAAAACGTATAAATATGATAAAGCAAGAGTATTTGATACATCATCTTCGCTTCAGATTCTATTAGTTTTATATATCAAGGCTACAGGTTGACTTTATAACATCGAAAGTTAACAGTACTAAAAAATTAAATATACATGTATGGGTCAAGTGAAATACCTTTTTAATGAATCACAAAAGCAGAGTAGGTGTGTTCGAATAGCAAATTTTTACTAAAAGTACTTGACGACTGACTTTTAAGTTGGATCTTAAAAATGCATATCTTCGAAAAAACTTCATTTTTTGTTTGTGATAATTAGGGTTTATAGTCTTCAACCACTGAAAATTTTTAGTCTGCCCTTCCACGAAATATTTAATTAGAATTTTTTTAAATGTTTATGAATTTCCGAAAATTCCACCTGACAACCGATCCAACAATAGTTTTAAGTTGACTGAATGCAGACAAGTTAAATGTACATTAACTGATGCTCATTAGCTAGTAGATACATTTGTCTTTTAAAATACACTTGGCATATAAGGATCGTAATGGTGCTATGTGGATAAATTTATCGGTTTTCAAGAGCTAAATTGGAAGCGCGTCATCTCTACAATGGCTTCCATTTTTACGATTGTAAAAATGAACTGGCGTAATGAGGAGATAATTTTGACGAAGTAGAATCCTAACTGATTGTATTTCTCTCAAGCCTTCATTTCTCTAAGATATATTTTGTAAAAAGTTTTGAATAGTTATTACCATTGAATAGATAAAACACATGTATGTTCAACACTGGGGACATTGGAACGCTGTTCTTTTATTCGAATAATATTTATGTCACTGATTTTTTTGAACCACATTTACCAGTACAAATGTAAATAATCATATCCAGTGAACAATATTGGACAGTTTTGCAAATTTTAATCTACTGACTGCATGTTTATGGGGATAGCTTGAAATCTATTTGAATTCAAGATGAAAGGTGTCATTAGGTCATTTTTAACAGTCAGAGCTCATGGAGCTCAGACAAAAAAAAAGTCTTAACATGTTTATCCTTCCACAAGTCAAAAAAGGTTTAACATATTTGTAAGAAGTACCTTTCGTTTTCATAACCTCAATTTCAACTCAAACAGATCATTGTATTTGTAACATTTACTGGCCTATTAAGTCAAAAGTTATCAAAACATGAGTCATTTTAATGGCCATGCACACCAATTTATATACCAAGCACCCAGATGAGACTACAAAATTATTGTTCACAAGGAACTTAAGATTATGAGAGTGCAGGAGCAACTGTATTACCAGGCTTTATCACACACAACAATTCTCAGATAGATTTTGCTTTTTTATGACCCACCTACGATAGTAGAGGGGCATTATGTTTTTTGGTCTGTGCGTCCGTTCGTTTGTCCGTCTGTTTGTCCATCTTTCCTGCTTCAGGTTAAAGTTTTTGGTCAAGGTAGTTTTTGATGAAGTTGAAGACCAATCAACTTGAAACTTAGTACACATGTTCCCTATGATGTGATCTTTCTAATTTTAATGCCAAATTAGAGTTTTGACCCCAATTTCACGGTCCACTGAACATAGAAAATGATAGTGCGAGTGGGGCATCCGTGTACTATGGGCACATTCTTGTTCATACCTAATTTGCCCATAAAAGTTTACTAGAATATTAATTATCCAAAAATTGAAAAATATGGTTCATATTGGCATGATTGGTGTCAGATAAGTAATGGGGTTGGTTGGGTAACAGTAAACACATAATTTTTTGTCATAATATTAGTTTGATCCAATTGTGTCATTTAAGGTGATCAAAATTTTTCAATATTATTTGATCTGTATGATTAGTAAACGTTTTGAATTTCAATCACTATTTAAATTCTTAATTTCTTTGTTATATTTTCTTGACAGGAAAGTGAAGGTGAAACTAAAGAAGCTGGTAAGTTTTAGGAACAAAAAACAGGAAAGTTAAAAGTGCAAAGGTTATTAACAGTTCAGGTCAGAATGCAGAGAAGCATTAGCCTAACAATCATGACCACACAACCAAAGCCTGACAATACAATTCAATCATGTCAATAGACTATTTTCATATTACCGACTTTTGACTCCGGATTATATATTTTTCGACAGGTTACCTCCTCTGTGGTAGGACATCCTGATATTGGATCAAGTGAGAGCAACTAAAAGAAGTAAAATCAAACATATGATCGGTGCAATTTGAGGGGAAAGTTTTCTGTTTTCCGAAGATTTTGTCATGTACATAAAACATAAAACACTTAATTTTCACCAAAAATGGTACCAATTGAAAGCTTGATTTTACTTCATTACGTTGCTTTTTCTTGACCAAGTACCAGGATGTCCTACTGCAGAGTAGGTAACCTGTCGAAAAAATTATATAATGGGGAGTCAAAAGTCTGTAATATGAAAAAAGTCTGTACAATAATTTAATGAACTATAAATCAAAGTCCATGAAAGTGCACTCATTAGAGCAGAAGAATTGTAATTTAATTAGTGCTACAAGACAAAGCATACTAATCATGATTTCAATGATTGAGTGGATTAAAACATACAACATATATACACACATTGTATTTATTAAAAAAGAACTGCATACACATGTATATAAATATACTGGCGAATAAAACAAAACAAAAACACTAACTATATGGATTACGAGCATGTCACTGGAGAGAATAATCTTATACAATGTTGTATTATATTGGTGTGTTATAGCCCAGCTAATCCTGCAGTTTGATTGTTTACCTTGACAGGTATATGAGCCCATGTATATAATTGTAATTAATGTTGTAATGAGGACACTACAGTCAGTATAATATAATTGTTATTCAGGCTTCACATGATATATGGGCTCATATTCCCTGTCCGTAAACTATGCACCAATCACCTGGCTGCTCTGGAGATATGAAACATTGACCAGGAATATGATAAAAATAAGATGTGATATGAATGCCAATGAGAAGACTATCCACCAAAGTTCAAATGAAGTGGATGTAAGCAATTATAGGCAACTGTACGGCCTTCAACAATGAGAAAAACCCATCTGTATGGTCAGCTACAAATATGTATAAAAGGCCCTGACATAAAAAATATGAAACAATTCAATTAAGAAAACTAACGGCCTAATTTATAACAAAACAGTTTACGAAAAACAAATAGGGCAAACATAAACCAACGACAACCACTGAACTACACGCTCCTGACTTGGGACAGGCACATAAAGAATGAGCCCATTCCCATGTGAAGATCACAAATATATGCAAATATGTTTGATAAAAATGCAGCTTTTTCTAGGAAAATGAAAGGTGGTATCTCTCCGGATTTTTTAGCTCACCTGGCCCAAAAGCATGAAAAGGGCCAAGTGAACTTTTCTCATCACTTGGCATCCGTCTTTGTTGTCCGTTAACTTTTACAAAAATCTTCTCCTCTGATACTACTGGGCCAAATAAAACCAAACTTGGCCTAAAACATCCTTAGGATATATAGTTAAAAAAATATATCCTATGACCCCCCCCCCCCCCATCAACCAAGATGGCCACCATGGCTAAAAATAGAACATTGGGGTAAAATGCATTTTTTGGCTTATATCTCTGAAACTAAAGCATTTAGAGCAAATTTGACAGGGGTATAAAGGTTCATCAGGTCAAGATCTATCTGCTCTTAAATTTTCGGATGCATCAGACAACCTGTTGTTGGGTTACTGCCCCTGAATTGGTAATTTAAAGGAAATTTTGCAGTTTTTGGTTATTATCTTGAATATTATAATAGATAGAGATAAACTGTTAACAGCAAAAATGTTCAGCAGAGTAAGCTCTGCAAATAAATAAACATGACCAAAATTATCAATTGACCCCCTTTAGGAGTTATTGCCCTTTATCATGTTTATAGTCAATTTTTCACATTCTTTCGTAAAGTTTTGTAATCTTTTACAAAAATCTTCTGAACTTAATCTACTGGGACAAAATAGAATTAAACTTAGCCACAATTTTCAATAGGGTATCTTGATTTAGATATGTATCTGATGACCCTGCCATCCAACCAACATGGCCACCATGGCTAAAAATAGAACATAGGGGTTTAGTATAGAAGTCTATGGGAAAATTGTAAAAGAACAATTTCAAATGGTCACAACTTGAAAACTAATTTAAATAATGATAAGGGGTCTCAGTAACTATTGTAAGACTGCAATGAGATGACCTGCTTTTAATTTAACTACTGGGCCAAATTGAAACCAAACTTGGTCTCAATCATTATTGGGGTATCTAATGCTATTTATTATGATTTTAACCTTATTTTACATGATTTCCAAAACCACAGTATATACAGGTGAGCGACAGAGGCTCTCAGGAGCCTCTAGTTTCTTGCTCACTCTGTTTTAATATGAAACATATGAATCTGTACATAGATTTTAAGTTTCAGAACTATATCAATTAAACTTCATTATAATATAAAATTAAAAGGAGATTGCCAATGAGACAACTATCATGTTTTATAATTGTAAAATATCTAAGATAAACCATTACATTTTACGAAGCGGGAAAAACAAACCATTTAAAAAAAGTTAAAAAATTCTTAAGCTTACATTTACTCCTTATTTCATTGTGTATTTAAAAAAGTTTCTTTTTGCATGCTTAGCTTTGTTTTTGGGCATATAACAATGTATAAAGTTAATTGAAAATTGACTACCTATCCATCACTCAAGGGGGTCTCATTGGGGGTTCTCATCCCGGATTCCGCTTACAGTTCTGTCAGATTCCCGTATCCCGCTTACACTATGTACATAAGCAATTCTCATTTTTTTGTAATTTCCCGTATCCCGCTAGACTTCATTTCCCGTTTTCACGGCACAATAATTTGACTTTCATGTGTCACGCTTACAAAAAGTCCACAATCCTGTGTCACGCTTAGACCCCAATGAGACCCACACTCAAGACTGCAGAATTATATGTGTAGAAAAAAGCATTTGACCTAGTAAGGAAGAATTTGACACTTTTGTTTATGTTTACAGACCTAGATGTATCAGATTATGAGAGTGCTAATGAAGACAATGGAGAGGAAGAGGTTTGTTTTAAACATGTTGTATTGTCATTTATCTAGTTTATACCTCACCAAAAAAAAGTTTGAGGTAGGTTGTTTGGTATATGAATTATCCTATCGATATCTCAATTAGAGACAAAGTATTGACACTACTGATTTTAGAATTCTTACCATGGGGGTTTTATATCATTGTACATGTTCCAGGAAACTTAAAGATGACCAAAGAAGTTTTTTTAAATCATTATGATTTTTTTCCTGTAACAAAAACTTGTTGTATACATAATATTCCATCACAACATACACAGTTTAATCATTTAAACTTTCAATAATGATATTAATATAAAAAAAGAAGATGTGGTATGATTGCCAATGAGACAGTTCTCCACCAGAGACCAAATGATGTAGAAGTTAGCAACTATACTTCACCATCCAGCCTTCAACAATGAACAAAAACCATACTAAGCTATTAAACATGTTAAAGGCTTGACAAATGGAACACAATTCAAACAAGAAAAGTAATGGTCTGATTTACATATGTATGCATAAACTAAAAACAAATATGATATACAGTAACAAACAACTCAATTGCAGACTCCTGACTTGGGACATGCACATACAGAATGTGGCAGGTTGAACATCATGAACATGTTTTGGGGTGCCAAACCCTCCAACTAACCTGTGTCTGAAAATCTTGCAATAGGAAAAGCCGCAACACTATTAATCTGTTGATATCAGGAGACATAGGTTGTCTCACATATCTCACTGTGACAATGATGTCAGATTTTCTGATGTGCTTCAGCAATAATGTGAAATTTATAATTAAGAAAACTGTGATTTTATTTATATAGGTTGTCTCACATATCTCACTGTCACATGACTGTGACATTGATGTCAGATTTTCTGATGACTGATGTGCCTCATCTATAATGTGAAATTTAAAATTAAGAAAACTGTCATCACTATAAAGTAACATTTTAATCCTCATAACAATATGTTGTTTGACATGCTAGCTAGGCAGGGTCCTGGGATATTGATAGGATTATTTTTTGTAATGAGTTCATTGGATAATCTTAGTTGCTCCCATCATTAGATACATGTATGATTTCAAAGTCGAATGTTAAGTTTATGACCCATTTTCTCTTAGATATGAATTATGACTTAAGAGAAACCATCTCTACAGAAGCAATTGACAATTGGTGTCTTATGGCATGTATTTAAGATCCAGCAACAAATATTTCATACATATTCAGGACAAGAAAAGTTTAATAGTACATGATCAGTTCATAGGGTATGAAATGTGAGTGAACTTGAAGAAGAAATAGATAATATTTGATGCAACGTCAAGACTAGATATAAGAAGATGTGGTATGAGTGCCAATGAGACAACTCTCCATCCAAGTCAAAATTTATAAAAGTAAACCATTAAAAGTCAAAGTACGGTCTTCAACACGGAGCCTTGGCTCACACCGAACAGCAATAGGTTTATATTTGGTTTAGTCACAAATTCTGCAATACAATAGGCGACTTCTATTAAAACAAAAATATATACTGATATTATATTGTATGGAGAGAACTTGTCAATTTACATGATTTACTGTCAGAAAAAAAGAAATATAATTCCAATATTAGGTTGGCATGACCTATATGTCCATCACAGTGCAATTTCATGTATCGTCAAAAGTGTGGTACCGGTACATTGTACTGTGTATTCATTATTATTCGTAGGATACCAATATTCTTCGATTTAGTAGTTACAGGTGAACCATGAATTTTAATATTCAACATGTTCAAAGAAGTACACGTTTAAAAAAAATTATGCAGACTTTGAAAATAAACCATGCAATCAAATATCCAGGAAAAAAAAACATTTCCCCCTCAATCCATGATATTGGTACCAATCATGATTTACAGAATCAACAGTATTTAAAACTCCACCGCAGGCCTCGACAATAACGCTTGTCCGATTGTCCGGTACCAGAGGAAAAAAAGGTCGGACAAGTAAAAGCTAGATCAAGCTTGTCCGACTGGACAAGTAAAATTATTCTGCAGAAAATAAATTTAATCCAACTTTGATGAACAAAGTAATTATAAACAAAAAACAAGAAAAGAAGATAAAAACAAGTATTAATTTGACATGTTTACTTGCAAACCGATAATTTTAAACTGGATCTTTGTCAGGTACTTTTTAATAGGTAAAAGGCATACTATTTTCGGAAACCAGTTTTACTGATCCGAATCAGCGATGCGCTTTGTAGAAAAGGTAACTTTACAAGACAGTTCTTCACCAGCTCCGAAACAATTGGCTCCTAAGTTTAATAGACAGTTTGGCACCGTAGGAGACATATTTAATAGACATGATTAATAGACAGTTTGGAAACGCAGGAGACATTTCGGGACCAAGACAAATCAGTACCTCCTTTTCCTACCTTATTCTGTTGCTTTATAATAAATACCATACCGGTAATTTTTTTAACAAAAATATTTTTTAAATAAAAAAGAAGAAATTATTTACCATAAAATTCACAAAATCATATTTGATCATATGTAGAAAGAAACAATACTTGCAATACAGTGACCTATAGTTGTTAATTTCTGTGTCATTTGGTCTCTTGCAGAGAGTTGTCTCATTGGAAATCATACATCATCTTCTTTTTTTTATTGATTGCATTTGAATAATCTTTTTTCAACTTAAACAACCAGGATACAAATCCAATGAGTGTACATTGACAGGCCTATCAGACGGTGCCTCATGTGCAGAGTCTGATGAGACTTTGGCATTGATGAAAACTAGAACCTAAGCCCTATGACATGACTAGATTCAGTTGTTCTCGACTCATATTTTTGAAAAGTATTTCAAAAGATATAAATCAAATTCTGTTCTGTTGTTTTAATTCATTTTGTTCCTTGGATCAACTTATTAGGCAAAAAAGGTTATTATTAAGATTTGTTTTGGACAAGTTCCAATTTCATTCGGACAAGTAAGTTTTGGGTTGTACTTGTCCTACTGGACAAGTTGAAAAAAAAGTTATTGTAGAGGCCTACACCAATATAAAATTATGTGTTTAATTCCTTTAGTGCAAAATAAAGTTTCATATTTAAAACTATGTAGGAAGAAGAAGATGATGAAGAAGAAGAGGAATCAGAAGAAGAGGAAGATGACGACGAAGAAGAAGAAGGAGAAGAATATGAAGATGAAGATGTTATCATAGAAGACTATGATGAAGTGGGTGAGGAAAGACAAAGTGGAGATGGAGAGGTTTGTTGTTTCAAAAAATTCTTTAATAAATCATAATTATAAGGACAATGAAGGAGATGTGGTATGATTGCCAATGAGACAACTATCCTCAAGAGTTCAAATGATGTGGATTTAAGCAGCTATCGGTCATTTGATTATGTATGAAGATTGTTTGTACTAATTTTTATGAAAAAATCACAGATGAATTGTTTTATAATTAGATAAATATACAGCAAAAATGACGTTTTTTTCCCTAACATCATGAAAATTTAATAAAAATAAATTGTGTCCAAGAATTGCTACACAAATTTAGAGCATAGTTATGTAAAGAAGCTATTCCAAAGGTTTTTACAAAAATCTACTTGTGTTTATCTTTTGAAACAAAAAAGTTAGGTTTGTCTATCTAAAGTATAGAAATTTCCAGGAAATTGAAATCTTGAGTCTGAAATTTAGACCCCATTTATCTCTAAGAGCAGCACATGAAGGTATATGTATAATTACATATCTGGAGTGTCTGGGTGAAAAATATCTTGTATGCAAATGTTCATAAAAAAATCACGGTGGGATCAAAATTGTATCGTATGGCCTTAAAACTTATTCCCTGTATATGCAAGAAATAAATTCGGAATATACAGTATATTATTTTTGTTATTGTCAACATTGTCTCTATGTCATAGACAGTATTATTACTGCCTCCTATTTGATAATTTTGCTCTGTTTAGGGCTGTTCCAGAATTAGCTGTGGAACCAAATCTCTTATGGTCCTGTGATATTTTTTGACAATTTGCAATTGCTTACCAATATCAGAAGAACCATAGGAGATACAGTTCTGCAGCTAATTCAGAATTAATTCTGGTTGAATTTGGTCGGAAGGCACTTCTACTAAAATTTGATTGGTGGTGATAATTTAGAGAGATACGTGTAGCCTAATCATTTATTAGAAATAATCAACTATAATGTTATGCATTTCATAAAATTTAAACTGTCTTCCAACCCCCTTTCCATGCATTTTTTCCTGGAACAGCCTCTATAAGTTTGATTTGTAAAAAAATGTTTTGTTCTGTTTATAAACTTGAGTTAAAAAATCAGTTTGTTTAACACTTGAAAACATTGTCATGTTGATGAACATCACCTCACTTTCACTGAATAGATCAATTTTTCCTTGACACACAGTCATGATAGTCGTGATAGTTGAGAATTGATTGACAAAAAAAAAGGTATTTAGTCAATTAGTAGGGCATGTTAAGCAACCAACAACCAATCAATCAATTAGAAAGATTTAGAAAGGGAAGAGGCAAAAAAGCATTCAATTGGATCCATTTCAAATTTCCTATTTAGTAGTAAATTCTGAAAGATTTAATGGCCAATAGTTTTTCTCCAACTTTAAACATTTCAGTTTTTTCTTTTCTCATTCCAGAATAATCACAGGTGTACTGTTAGTAGACATTATTATTTGATTGACCAAATAATACGTTCAAATTATATTTTTATTAAAGATTACTGGTATGATGAAAAAAACTGGTTTACTCCTGGTTTGCCCACTTTTAATTACACCAATTATATTTTAGTAAAGAAAACAAAAAAGACAAAAGGTTAATGAGCATACAATTATATAGTCTATTCCAACTTAGGTATATAGTTTATCTATATATATTCGGGTATTTTTTATTTGGTAATTCCATTTTCATAAATGTATAGATAAATTATAAATAAATCATATCTTCTTGATCAAAAATGCAAGTTCTGTTTTAATTATTTTTTGACAATATTTTGGTCTCGAGGCAAAATATATAGTTTCAGTGTAAGACTTTTAGTTTTTAGGGACATCAAAAGACCAATACGTAGGATAAAGCAAAAACATGTAGTTCACATATAGTTTTATGGATGTGGCTGCTATTTTTTTTAGATAAAAAATCCTTAAAAAAAATAATAGTCAAGTTAAATTTTTTTTTTACTAAATTACAAATGGAAAGCAACACTAAGAGAATAAAGTAAATGTTCTGAGACAATATACCTAAGTTAAATGAAACACATTTTCAGACATTGAATTCAAGTAAATTAATATTTATACATTATAAAAAAGAAGATGTGGTATGATTGCCAATAAGACAACTCTCCACAAGAGACCAAATGGCACAGAAATTAACAACTATAGGTCACCGTACGGCCTTCAACAATGAGCAAAGCCCATACCGCACAGTCAGCTATAAAAGGTCCTGAAATGACAATGTAAAACAATTCAAACGAGAAAACTAACGGCCTAATTTATGTACAAAAAATGAACGAAAAACAAATATGTAACACATAAACAAACTACAACCACTGAATTACAGGCTCCTGACTTGGGACAGGCACATACATATAGAATGTGGCGGGGTTAAACATGTTAGCGGGAGCCAATCCTCCCCCTAACATGAGACAGTGGTGTAACAGTACAACATAAGAACGAACTATAAATTTAGTTGAAAGAGGCTTAACTCATCAAATGAATACAAATACAAATAATACAAATACAAGTGGACGTGACCGGGTACTTGTACATTCAAACAACAAAAAGACACTAAGTACAGATCTGAGAGTACTCACAGTTACTGACACTAACAACTAATAAAAAAAATCATGCATCTAAGACTAAATTATCAATCCGTACACATCCAACATCCAATGGATTTAGTGTAAAGACGTCATAAACAATAATTATATTATTTAAAGATTTATAAAACTCCTAAAAAAAATAAAAAAAGACGAATTTTGGAAGAATGGCTTAAAAGACCTACCGAGTTATTTATTTTCAATACATTTTAAGTCAGTTTATTTATTTTCAAACTACTACAGGACAAACCATTATTTTTTTCTTATTATCAAGGCTGAGTTATTTTTTTTCAAAATCCCCCCTACAATATCCAATGGTCGTCACCTAATATATGAATCAAGTTTATAAATGCATTGCATAAGGAAATAAATAGAGCACTATGGTAAAATAACAATCTGTTGGGTTTTTTAAAAGAAGAAATGCTAGCTTGAATGCAGATCACTGTTCAAATATTTCATTTGTAAAGCTTGGCTACTGAACAGTTGCATTTTTATTCTATTTGTTAGAATTTATTGTCAAATTCAATACATTTTCCTGATAAAAACTATATTAAAACTTTTGAACATTTTCATTGATTTGATAGCAGAATATAGTATTTGATCACATTTTACAGGTAAAATAAAAGGTACAAAATATGACTATAATTCAGAAATAAACTATAATTGTTAAAACAACAATCCACCCTGTGCTTACATATGCATGTAATTAAAAGTGGGCAAACCAGGATGACACCATACCCTATAATTTTTGAAAAGACATAATTCAATTTTATCCTGTCATAGTTTAAAACTTTATCTGTTTTATTATAAACTCTGCTGATGAATAAATTAAAAGTTCTACAAAATTTTCATTTTTAAGCTGTTATCTAAATTTGCATATTTTAAGCTGTTATTTAAATTTACAATTTAGGAGCAACCCGACAAATCGAAATTAGATGATGATGAAGACAGAAAGAATCCAGCTTTCATTCCACGGCAGGGTGCTTTTTACGAACATGATCTCAGACTAGGAGAAGATGGTCAAGAGGGTCTTGAAGAAGATAAGTGAGTGGTTATTTCTTAACAGAGCACATTCATTTAGTCTGCGTCTTCTTAATCTAAGAGGGTATAAATGTAATATTCGTACTCAGGAATTTTCAGGGGATGGAAGTCCAATGAAATTTTTCAGAAAGCCTGTAACCCACATTAGGAGCTTCAATGATTCTGCATTTATCTCCCTTTGATTGGAAGTATAAGTAGTACACCACTAGTCAGTATCAAGATATCTGTTTGGGGTTTAATCTTTTGTGTTTCCTGATCAATAGACAGGCTACATTCTAAAAACAAAATCCATTTTATCTGTTTTCAAGGTAAATACATGTAGCGTAAAAGTTGCAGAATTATCTTTGATTACTTTGTTGTTGGCAGGACTTCCTTATGATCACTTTCATGTTTGTCTATGCTTATTCTGTTGATAATAGCTATAGACATGAAAGACAGGGTTACAACAGAAAACATTTCTCTTTTTGTGCCCATGCTATGTATTTTCTATATATATATATCTTTTGGAACAACTTTCTTACAATTAAATAGGGCTGTTCCAAAACTTAATGTGGTGGGGGGATGGGACACACTCAAATTAATTAATTGTGGGTGGTTGCATTTTCCTTGGGCTTTTGTAGGAGAGTTAGGGGTAATACTTATACAAATATTTGTTATTGACTTGTACAGGTGAATTATTTCGAAGGTCTATTTATTTCCCTTTTACATCCATTTTTTAGCTCATCTAGCCCAAAGGGACAAATGAGCTTTTCTCATCACTTGGCATCCGTCGTCATCTGTTAACTTTTACAAAAATCTTCTTCTCTGAAACTACTGGGCCAAATTTAACCAAACTTGGCCACAATCATCATTGGGGTATTTAGTTTAAAAATTGTATCTGATGACCCTGCCTGCCAACCAAGATGGCTGACATGGCTAAAAATAGAACATAGGGGTAAAATGCAAGTTTTGTCTATAATTTTGAAAATCGATTTAACTAGAGAAAATCTGACCGGGATGAAATGTTCAGAATGTTGATCTCTACCAATTGTCTATATACATCAAAACTGTCAGACGACTTCTTATAGGAGTTACTGCCCTTAAATGACAAATTTTACTTTTTTTTTTCATTATTGCCTTTTATCTTGAAACTTATAATAGATAGAGAGAAACTTTAAAATGCAAAAATGATCAGCAAGACAAGTTCTACAAATAAGTCTATCCATTGTTAAAGTCGTCAGACGACTCCTTATTAAAGTTATTGCCCTTTGATGACTATTTTTACAAATCTTTTGCATTTTTGCCTTATATCTTAGAAATTATAATAGATAGATAGAAACTTAAATTAGCAGAAATGATCAGCAAGACAAGATCTACAATTAATGGAGGAAATCGTCTGACAACTCCTTATTGGAGTTATTGCCCTTTAATGACGATATTCACCATTTTTTTTTGCGTTTTGCCTTATATGATAAAATTCACAATAGATAAATAGACACTTTAAATCACAAGCGTGATCAGCAAGGTAAGATATACTAACAAGTCAAATTTGGTGATATAGTTTGATAGTAGATTGTCACTCTTTATAGGAGTTATTGCGTGCCTTTAAATGAGGATTTTTTTACCCTCTTTTCTGTTTTGAGCAAAAACTAAAGAAGATAGAGAGAAACTAAACAGAATAAATGATCAGCACTACAAGATCAACAAAACAGAGATTTTTGTCATGAATTCTATTATTGTTTACAATGTTGGAGAGTATCCTTTATTGAATATGCAAATAGACCAAGGTGAGCGACACAGGCTCTTTAGAGCCTCTAGTTTTTTTACTTATATAAGTAAAAATGTCATATTTCCTTCTTTTCTTGAATTTCTTTTGACTACATTGTTGTAAAGGAGTGTTTAATTGTCAGTCATTAATAGTTGTCTTTACAATGCATAAATGTATAATTTCTTGGACAATGAAAATCTCCTTTTTCTGTTGTCTTTAAAACACTGCTCAATTACAAGCTTCCCGAGAGCAATTTTTAAAGGCCTTGCACAGTTACTTAAATCTGTGTGCAGTAGATTTCTATGTTTAGTTCTTGAGATAAAAGAAAGAACTCTAATTAAAAAAATATTAGTAAACCAGAAAAAAATATTATAGGCACGTTTTGACCTACCAAAACTTTAAATTTAAGGAGTTGTAAAAAAAATTACTTGGTTAAGTAAATTTTTTTGGAGAAGATTAAGGGGAGAATATTATATTTTTGGTGCTTGGAGTCTAAAAAAAAAGTGCCTCCCATTTCCATCATGTGTTTAATACTTTAACAGCCCTAATTAAAATTTTCTCAAGCACTACTTGAAACTAATTTCATCATAGTCATTATCTCGCTGAGGGCAGTGGTTGATATAGGAATGTGTTTTAATTTATACAATGAAAATGAAAATGGAGTGGTATGCTCGGAAACAGCTATGATTGACAAATTTTTTTTCCTAGAAAATTTTGAATAAATATTACCAGCAATTTTATGGAAAAACGTGGCACTTTATAAGTAGGTTTCCTATATTCTTTGAACCATCAAACTTTACTTTATAAATATTACAAAAGTTGTGTTCTACTATGCAGGAACATAAATTGATCAATCAGAGACTTTATGTTGATGCACCAACAGTAAAGACATATTTACATATTTGGTATTTAGCTGAATTTTGACTTCAGATGACCCCAGGGCTTCCAAAATTTCCTGACGACAGCCGGACATTTTTCAAAGAAATATTTTTGACGGTCAATGATCAGCTGGATACTTAAATGTAACTGAGAGGATGCATAAATTGATATATGTGTCTAAATAATTAGTTGTGATATATGCAATAAAATTATTTATAACTGTTTTGTTTTCTTCATTCTAAAAATAAATAAAATATTATCCTCGGTATTGTGTCATTTTTCTGTGTATCGTAATACAGTAACCATCATTGCATCAATCAGCTTCAGTACCTGACTGTTCTCATGTTTTTGTTTCTGTTTATATAATCTATCTTCTCTCTGTGAGTACTTAACACTTTGTAAATTAAGGCCATCTTATTTGAAACTGTTGATGTTGGCTTTAATTGCAGTACAACTTGATCATCAATACACGTGATACTTTTCTTTTTGTGTATTGATTACCTGACCACGTGACTTTTTCAACTGATGCGGTATTTATAGATAACATTGAGGAGGCCCGATGAAGGATATTGTTTTAAACCGTGTAAAATCTACTGAACAGTGATAACATTTTTCTTTGTACAATTTCCCAACCTGATTTAGAAAATAAGGAATAAATAAAAACATACTCAGTTGATAAATAATTTAATGAATAACAACATGATATTTTATGTAAGCATATAACAACAATAAAATGTCAGAAGAGCACAATGCTGACAAACACACGCAATAAATATTACAATGAGCACATTGAAAAGAAGCACAGATCACAGCACAAGATTAGAGTTCATTTAGTCTAATTAAAGATTTTACATTCATGAGCTTGCTAAATGCATTGTTCTGATAAACATGGCGGTTACGAACGGATTGCCATTTGCGGATAGCAGGAACAGGGTCAAAGTCTTTAACATCTACACCTACTAAGCTTATCCTCATAAGTTGATCTAAAGCGTCAATACCTAGACTACACCTTAGTCGATCATAATTCCCACGGCGGGACTTAACTTTACGTCGGACATCACCTCTTTCTCTATAACATCGGAAATTGTCTGAATAAATTCGGAGCAGGCATTGTTCTCTTGATATAATTTAGAAGTGATCACGGCACCATTTAACTTAGTTAAATCATTTATTGACTGAAATTTGTCCATTGGTTTTTCCTATATATTTTAGTAAATTTTCCCCTTGAGAGTACCCCAGTATTTAACACGATGTACAGTGTTAAATAAAATATATATATCATACTTATTCATTTATAAATATCCTTATTTGAAGAATAACTTTTAAATATCAGGATACTTTTAAAACTGAATGCTCATTTAAAATAATATCTATAAAGCGTAATTAAATAGGATGTTGTTCCATACACGCTTACATGTTTGACCTCGTTTACCGGATTACCTTTATGTACATTGTTATGCATCATTAATTCTATTGATAAAGATAAGCTAAGGACACCTCATCAAAGGTAACAAACCTGTAATCAGTGAATGATTTATGGCTTCAATATAACTTATTGAAGGGATAATTGTTTGACAGCTTGTTGTTATTTAAATAAAAGAAAACTTGTTTTTTCTACTTTTTATTGATGTACACAAGCTAAAGACCAAGCCTTACATTTATGCACCCAGAGGATTAGACTAACTGAGACACTTCAAAGTATCTGAAATATGCTGCTTCTGTTTTATTAAACCCAATTATGACCGAAATATCTTTGTGAAATAGATTGCCACAATTATAAACTAAAATGCCCAAACGGACATGCCCAAAGCCCCAAACGGACATTTTTATCGATCGATAGTTGGTAAAAATTGAAATGACCGTTTCATGAAAATGCCTTGAATAACAAAATGTGGCACACCAATTCTATTTGACCGTTTGAGGCTGAGAGCAGCCGGTCTTTTGATGAAAGTTTCGGTCAAGTCCGGAATATATGACCGTTTTGGAAGCCCTGGATGACCCTATATCTGTCTCTGTATAACCATCTGACATCAAGCAACATTTTGATAATGACATCAAATTTTTGAACTTGTGTGATTTTAAGTAACATGAGTAATGGCAGACAAATTTGCGTACAAATATAAATGTTTCTATTTTTTAATTGAGACAATTGACCAAACAAAGAGTTTGGGGTACTTAGTATGGAAATTGGTAAAACAAGTAAAAAAATTATGGCAGTCAGGGGTACTACTTGTACAAGTAATCTTTATTTACTTGAAGAAGTAAATAAAATATACTTATATAAGTTAATTATAATGTTTGAATAATCTCCCCTTAATTTTCTCAAAAATTTACTTGTATAAGTAATTTTTTTTTACAATCCCACTAAAATTCTCAAGTTTTAAGATGTAAAATAATGCCTTTAACAATTTTTCTCAGGTTAGCTCATAATTTTTGATAAGAGTTCAATGTTTCATCTCATTAATTCAACAAAGAAACTGATTGCGCAAAGATCTAAAGTATTTGCGCAAGGCCTTCAAAAATTGCTCCTTGGGGGCTTGTAAATGAGCAGTGTTCTGAAGATAACTGACAAATGAGATTTTCAGTGTCCATGAAATTACACTTAAATGATTAGTAAAGACATCTGCAAAGGACAGACAATTCAAAATTCTCTTAGAGCAAAGAAGTTCTAAGAATTCAAGAAAAGAAGATGGGATGACTTTTTTACTTGTATAAGTAAAAAAATCTGAATGTCTAAGGGAGATAATTAGGCCAAAAAATAATTTACCTATACAAGTAAATAAAATACACTTGTATAAGTATCCAACAAATTTACTTATATAAGTATATTAATATTTACTTCTTCAAGTAAATAAAAATTACTTGTACAAGTAGTACACCTGACTGTATGGGAAGAGGGAGAAACTTTTTTTTTTAAAGATGCTAGGGAATAGAATAAAGTACATCTTTTTTATAAGAGAAATATAACATCTCCAATGAGAGGGTTATGAAAAGTATTGTACTCTTGTACTCTCATACATGTGATACTTCCAGCTGAAAGTTATTTCCAGTTGTGAGTTGACAACCCATGTTTGTACTCTTTTATTTTGTGTTAGGCGTCCGACAGGTCCAAGAAAGAAGTTATGGCAGGATGAAGGACGATGGAACCATGATAAGTATGCAGACTACATGCAAGCACCTAAGTCCAGAGAAGAACTTATCACTATGTACGGATATGATATCCGTCTGGCAGACAAACCTCCAGATGCTCCACCCCGTAGAGGAGGAGGGGGAGGGCCCAGGTAAGCCTATGTTTAAATTTTTTATTTTTTTTTTGCTCTGAATTTCTCACTATTAAACATGACAAAAGACATTTAATGGTGGGCCAGGGACTCACCATTTTTGGGCAAGGTGAGTCTTAAATTCTGCATTTAATCTTTTTTAATGAAATATAAAAAAATTATCATTTGACAACGGCTCAGTCTTTAGTTTTCTATGTTTTGTTTTGTGTACTATTGTTTGTTTGTTGGTTTTTTTTTTAGCCATGGCGTTGTCAGTTTATTTTTGACTTATGAGTTTGTATGTCCCTCTGGTATCTTTCGCCTCTCTTCTATAAAGTATAAACCAATGTATGCTAAAAAACATAAAAAAAATGTTCAAACCTTCAACATTTTTATAAAACAGCTTCCATTTATTCAGCATGTTCAGTAATTGTACCCCCGCTTTAAAAAAGTGGGGGTATACTGTTTTAAATCTCTCAGTCCGTCCCATGAATATTTTTCGTTCCATTTTCCTCAGGTACTACATTACAAGGATTTCTGAAATTTGGTTTCAAGGTTTATATGAGTGAGCTATACCGTGTGATGCGTTTTCAGATTCATCACTCATGATTTTATTCTACATGTAAACAAGATTTACCTTTCCTTTTCAATGATATGCAAAAAGATGTGTTCTTTATATGTGACGTCATCAGATATGGACATTTTTTTTCTTGACATCCCAATAGGAAACCATAAGATTTGATGTCATCATTGAATTTTGACCAATAAGTAACAGACATGATTGAGATCAATTGAACCACATGTTGATTATAAAAAAAGATAATGAACCTCTCAGGAAAAGTATAAATGGGTTAAGAATTAGTGAAAACATTTAAGGACATTTATTTGTTCTACCTTTGATTAAAATGCAAATATTGTATAATTTTTTAGGAGACCAAGAATGGATGAGAAGCCAAAGATTAGTGACTTTATTCAGGAATCCTCTAGGGATGACAGTTATTTAGTAGAAAGAAAAAATGACTATAATAGAAACAGGGATCGATACTTCAGAGGCAAATCTGAAGAATATCGTCAACAGGATGAAGAACGAGGTCCTCCACCAAGTCGTTCATATGAAAATCAGAATACCGGTAACAATAATGAAAAACATCAGCCTCCAAAATATGACGAGTGGAATAGTCGCTACGAAGAAAATCAGTCATATAGATATAGATCTCGTGGTGATTCAAACAAAGATTCTGGCAGAGGATACGGCAGAAATTCAGATTCAGGTCGAGGTTACAATAGGAATAGAGACTCAAATAGAGGCTATGAAAGGGAATCATATCAGGATTCTAATCGTGGTTATGACAGGCCACCACGTAGGGAATATGATAATCGGGGTTATGACAGGCCACCTCGTAGGGAATATGATAACAGGGGTCAAAGGTATGATAATCGTGATAATCGTGACTATCGTAGTGACCGTGGGAACTATGAATACCAAAGAGGAGGGAGATATAATGGTAGAGGTTATAGAAATGATCCACCTAGGAGGGAGTTTACCTATTCTAGAGGTCAGAGAGGTGGAAGGTCAAGACCTGATCGCGGCAGAGGGGTTGCCCCAAGAAGAAATTTTGAACAAGAAAGGAAAATCCCTCCACGTTTTCTCAAGAAGAAAGAACAAAGATTGCAACAACAGTTACAAAATAATTATAATACTGGAGAATACATTGATCATGAACAGAATTATTATAATGACAATGTTGTTGAAGGATATCAGCTTGTAGAGGGTGATATAGAAGGCCAACATGTTGTTATTCAAACAGAAACTTATACACCAGCAGGTGGGCAAGAAGATGTTCAACAACAACCTCAAGAAGAAAAGGCAGAAGAGAAAAATGAAAACGTCATTGTGCAGTCAAGTACCAGTGAACGCAAGTCGTATTCAAAAGATCGACGTGCAAGAACTGTTGGGAAGACGCGAGTGCAGGATTCGGCTTTGAATGCTGTGCAGGAAGGAATGGTTAATCTTCAGCTTCAAGAGAGTCAGAAAAGTTCTAAAGCTGGGGAGGCACAAGATAGAGGTACATTTATGCATATGTTTTTTGGAGGGGATCACTAAGGGGTGGGGGGGGGGGGGGGTTAAATTTACCTTCACGGATAACAATAAAAAATGAATGGTGATACCCCATATATACAAAATAGATCTACAATGTCATGGTTGTACATATAGATGACAAATTTTTCATCTTAAATAACAAGAAGTACACTTATTGTCATCACTATTAATAGGACTTAAAACTGTGGAAATTAATGATACATTTCATTGTTTAACGTAAAATAGCAAATGAAATACATGTAAGGAAATGTGGTATGATTGCCAATATACACATGATATATGAGACACCTATCATCATGTGACCAAAGGACGATGATGAAAACGTAAACAACAGATCTCAGGTCTTTATGCATATGGCATGTATGGTACTCCATTTCTTATATTATGTGCAGTGGTCATGAAATTTAATAACTTGGAGCCACCCTATAATGAAATGGACCTGAACAGCTATTAACAGATTAGTTTTGTATGGCATTGAATGTTGATGGGAGTTTTTAATTAGGGCTGTTTCAGGAAAAAATGTATGAAGGGTTGGACAACACCTATTTTCATACCACACCACCCATAATTTTTATTTTCATTTGTAACATATTTTTATTTGCTTCAAACTCTGTTACAACTTAGTATGTGGTATCCAACCGTTCCATACATTTTTTCCTGGAATATCCCTACCTTTAATTGATCATTATTTTGTATATGACCTAATACATATATCCTTATTTATAGGTGAACAGAAATCTAAACGATCATCTCAGGGTCCAGCCGATAATTACCAAGCATCCTCTAAACAAGATGGTGGAAGGTCAAAACGTTACTCATCACAAAGACAAAGAAATCCAGAGCAAGCTTCACCTGATACTGCTCAGTTCTTTCCTTCAGAGGTTCCAAAAGGTAGACATATTTGTATACATCCTTGATATACCATATCATCTATCCATCTCAGAACATCTTGCAATAACTCAATATAAAAATGTATATGTAAAAATAAGAAGATGTGGTATGGTTGCTAATGACACAAATAATCACCAGAGTCCAAATGATGTGCATTTTAGCAACTATAGGTCACTGTACAATCTTAAACAATAAGAAAAACCTGTACTGTATAGTAAGCTATAAAAAGGCCTCATTTGAATCACTGTGTCAATAGTCCATGAAATATTATACAAAACATTACTATGTATTTGAATATTATCCAGCAGATGTTTTTCTATGTTTAGATCAATACTTGTAAAAATTATGATAGGTTCAAAACAAATAAACCAGGTCCATCAATAAGTATAGCAAGTGAGAAATTTCTAATAGGACTAAATTAGAACTGAGTGAACTCACAAAAGGATAACCCCACCTCTACGTAAATACAATTAGTATACATGTATTGAAGTAAGTAAATCAGGGATCTCCATGGATGAAAATTTAACGATGGAGGAAATTTCACCATGACAAAACCCCGTATCTACGGTGTGGCGTGAGCGAATGTATTTCAAGAATGACCACAAGCTGTCCTTTAGGTTCCCAAGTCCTTTTCTTGCTATTTTGGTAATTATTTAGGGCTTAAAAATTTGGGGGATCCATTTTCACTGTCATTGTCAAATTCAGAAGTCATGAACCGGTATTGACGATTTGCAGCATCAACAACAAGAAGTTTCGTATCTGTTTAAATTTGTAAAAGTTGAAGAAAGATTTGGAGGACAAGCATTTCTAACTTAAAAGGTTTTAATTACTTTAAATTGCAAATTTCATAGTATATAATATATTGTGCAACATGCATCTTTTGATTCTGAATTCAAACCGGATGTATCAATTTGATTGTAAACTACGAAATAAATTCTGAATTACAATACGAAATTTCTTCAGATTGTCAAGTTGCAGTTAATCAATTAATATTCATATTTTACAGGTTTCCAAAAACAAGAAGTAGTAGGTCCTCCATTTCAACAGCCCATCCTAAGACCACCCATTAATTATCCAATTCCTGGTAAGTAGTAACAAGGTAGTGTATAGTGGATACTAAAATACTGTAGTGCTACCAAGAATGTTAAAATAGTTTGAACAGTAAGAAATGCCAGAAAAGAATCTGAAGTATCGGTATTAATAAAAATAAACATGCAATTATAACTTTGTTAATTTATGCATTTTTCCACTTTGCATTTTCAGCAAACATTGTTATATTTAATATATTGTGGCTTATATATACTATATAAATCTCTTCTTTTTGAAAAGTATTAATTAATATGCATGCACAATATAAGAGCACAGTCGAACCTTTATTAAGCAGTCACTCATTGGAAGTATTAAAAATGACTGCTCAAGAGAGGTGACCTTTTAAAACAGGTTCTGAAAAATTCCTATTGCACGAACTCGGTTGCAAATGGGTTCCAATTCTAATTTTGACACAGATATTATTAGTCATGATTATAATTGGTAGTTAAAACATTAAAATGACAGTTGTTAAAAGATGAAATGATGATTTCATGTGAAAATTAGGTGACTACTGACCATGTTAGACAGGTGACCGCTGAAAAGAGTTATATTATATCATGTATGTAGAGAACTCATTTTTGAGGGTCTGAAAGTGACCGCTAAAACGAGGTGACCGTTAAGGCAGGTTTGACTAATTACAAATTTTCATGTACAAAAAAAAGAGTATTCACAATATTCAAGTACATTATTAGAGTATTCACAAATATGTATGTATAATATAAAAGTATTCACAAATAGTTATGACTGTGTACAATATAAGTGTATTCACAAATCATGCAAATATTTATGTGCAATATTAGAGTATTCTCAAATATTCATTTGCAATATAAGAGTATTCACAAATATTAAACATGTTCAAGTAAAATGATAGTATTCTTAAATATTCATGTTAAATAAAAGAGTATTCACAATCATCCATGTGCAAAATAAGAGTATTCACACATTCAAGTAAAATAGAAGAGTATTGTCAAATATTTAAGTAGAATAAAAGAGTATTCACAATTATTCATGTGCAATATAAGAGTATTCACAAATATTCGAGTACAATATATGAGTACAGGTATTCACAAATATTTATGTACTTCAAGAGATTCGTTATGATTGCATAGGATAACTATCTTTTAAAGATTAAAAAAAAATCAAATAAAGAATTTGTACATCTTCGAAGTGCAAAGTACCATGTATGTTTTAATGGAACAGCCCTAAGTAAAATAAATGTGGATTGATTTAATTTGAAGGATATGTGGTTCATGGTTTTGCCAAAGTCTTATAAACAAGCCTATTGAAAATTTGTGCTGAACATTTAAATTTATGGTCTATCTATACCCGTGAAAAACACAATCATTTAATAACTAATAACTAATCATTTGTAGCACATGTATAATAACCAATCATTTGTAGCACATAAATAATAACCAATCATTTGTAGCACATGAAAAACACAATCATTTGTAGCACATGAAAAACACAATTGTTTGTAGCACATGTATAATAACTAATCCATAGTATTCAATATTGCTTTATTTCAGTGTCAACTAATGCTTTACCAAATGGTCCTCCACAGAGGTTATTTAGACCTCCACCAGTATCAATGACTGGACCAGTGCCCATTATACCAACACAGTTTATCAACACTGGAGTAATCTATGGAGCACCACCAGGTCAAGGACCATATCCAGTTGCTCCTATTCAGGGATTCCCATCACCACCTCCTGTATCTACAGCTCCTCCACCTCCCATACCAGGTGTATCTTCTCCAGTGAGTATAAATCATGTCTTACGGATTGTCTCCTGTTCAGGGTCACCACCTCCCATTCCAGGTGTATCTTCTCCAGTGAGTATAAATCATGTCTTATGGATTGTCTCCTGTTCAGGGTCACCACCTCCCATTCCAGGTGTATCTTCTCCAGTGAGTATAAATCATGTCTTACAGATTGTCTCCTGTTCAGGGTCACCACCTCCAATTCCAGGTGTATCTTCTCCAGTGAGTATAAATCATGTCTTACGGATTGTCTCCTATTCAGGGTCACCACCTCCCATTCCAGGTGTATCTTCTCCAGTGAGTATAAATCATGTCTTACGGATTGTCTCCTGTTCAGGGTCACCACCTCCCATTCCAGGTGTATCTTCTCCAGTGAGTATAAATCATATCTTACGGATTGTCTCCTGTTCAGGGTCACCACCTCCTGTATCTACAACTCCTCAACCAGTCAGGGGACTTATTGAAATAAGTGATTTTTAAATCACTTATTTAAGTAGCAAATTTGAAGTTTTGTCACAAATTGTGATTTTGTAGTTTTACCAAAATTTTAAACACATAGGTTTAGATAATATCTTTTCATAAATAAAATTGAAAAAAAATGAACTTTTTGCTTCTTTTAAGCAGCAAGGTTTATGCCTTTGATGCAATCATTTGGCTGCAAATTCTATTTTAGTTGAAAAAATGCTATAAAAATGGCTTTACATAATGAACTGATACTTTCTTAACAGATTTTTCCCAGCAGTGGGAGTATTTTCCTGTAAAATTCAAGGTTTCATCTTATAGATTAAATAATAAAATTCTACTGTTTGCGATCAAAATTTCACTGTTCGGGGTTGTTGAAATTAGTGGGGGTTATTAAAATAATGATACTTAAAGAAGTGATTTTTTGGAAGGAAATTGAGGTATGATACTTAAACAAGTGATTTTTATGTCATTATCCTAGATTTAGTACAAGGTCATCACCTGACATGACCCGGTCATCCTATCAACACAGATGTTGGTTCTGATAATTTTAGCAACATAATTAGTCCCTGGAGCATTAGCATTCTATATTTAAAGCTACAATAAAATTAAATCACTTAGTCTAGTGATTAATTTGTACTACTTAAATAGATGATTATTAAAGAAAGACAACTCTTACTTCCAACCTTTATGGACATAATGTTACTTGAATCAGTGATTTAGAAAATCACTCATTTAAGTAAGTCCCATGACTGTCCACCTCCCATACCAGGTGTTTCTTCTCCAGTGAGTATAAATCATGTCTTACGGATTGTCTCCTGTTCAGGGTCACCACCTCCCATTCCAGGTGTATCTTCTCCAGTGAGTATAAATCATGTCTTATGGATTGTCTCCTGTTCAGGGTCACCACCTCCCATTCCAGGTGTATCTTCTCCAGTGAGTATAAATCATGTCTTATGGATTTTCTCCTGTTCAGGGTCACCACCTCCCATTCCAGGTGTATCTTCTCCAGTGAGTATAAATCATGTCTTATGGATTGTCTCCTGTTCAGGGTCACCACCTCCCATTCCAGGTGTATCTTCTCCAGTGAGTTTAAATCATGTCGTACGGATTGTCTCCTGTTCAGGGTCACCACCTCCCATACCAGATGTATCTTCTCCAGTGAGTTTAAATCATGTCGTACGGATTGTCTCCTGTTCAGGGTCACCACCTCCCATTCCAGGTTTTTCTTCTCCAGTGAGTATAAATCAAGGTTATTTATATAAAATAACAACAGTCTGAACAGACTGAACACATCTTAATTAACTGCAAACGAATTGTCTGAACAGTACTGAATTTACTGCAGTGGATAATCTGAAAATTGACTAAAAGAATTAAAATGACTTTCTAATTTATTGTTCAGTCTTTTAAGAGCTTTTCAGATCAACATGACAGTTTCAGATCAAAATTGGTTTACTAATTTATTAAAAGTTATAATTTGTATATATACATGTAATATTGCATCAGCCAGTGAAAAAAATGTCTGTCAAAGTTTCAGTGATCACTTGATGTATAATACTGTAAATAGGGAAATTTTCGCGTTAAGAATCGAAACGCTAAAATAAAACGACGGCGAAAATATCAAGGAATCTAATCATAAGATAAAGACCATACATGTACGTATATGATTAGGTTATGTAGAGGACCACTGTATAACACGGATTTTACAGACGACTGATCTATAACTCAAATCATAACTGTATTTCTAAATGAAAAGGAGTGTTAGAAATCATAACTTTAACACAAGTTAATCTTATTAACATGAAAGACATCTCAAGCAAGCGGACAATATGGATATTGTTATGTAAACAACACTCGTTCAGATATGTGATTGACAGCTGTCGATCAATTTTAAAATTAGTACGTCATTGTATCTGCTACACAGATAAATCAGATCAAAAGATCGATTGATTAGCATTTATCCTGACAGCATTTAATTCACTCTTAATTAGTAGATATAAGAAGATGTGGTATGAGTGCCAATGAGACAACTCTCCATCCAAGTCACAATTTATAAAAGTAAACCATTATAGGTCAAAGTAAGGACGGAGCCTTGGCTCACACCGAACAGCAAACTATAAAGGGCCCAAAAAATTACTAGTGTAAAACCATTCAAAAGGGAAAACCAACGGTCTATTTTAAATCTATATAAAAAACGAGAAACACTTATGAATCACATCAACAAACGACAACTACTGAACATCAGATTCCTGACTTAGGACAGGTGCAAACAATTGCAGTGGGTTTAAACGTTTAAATGGTACCACACCTTCACCCTTATCCATCCAAGTCACAATATAAAAGTAAACCATTGTAGGTCAAGGTATGGTCTTCAACACGGAGCCTTAGCTCACACCGCACAGCAAGCTATAAAGGGCCCCAAATATGACTAGTGTAAAACCAGGTCTTCTATCCTGTTTATTGTGTAATGTGTTTTTACAAGCAAACAAAACCTGACTTTTAATCTACTTTAACATTGCTGAACCGACAACAAAGAATTCTGATTGATTTCATCACTTGATTTACTATACATGTAAAGCTGTTCTGACACTTTCTAAATCATTTATGAAAATATTTGGCTCGGAAAATCGTGAATTCAAAACCGTTCGAATTAAGATTGTGTTAATAAATTGCGAAGAAAAGACTGCACGAAAATTTACTGGTTTACAGTAGATTTAGGTCAAACTAACTAAAATCTCCTTTTCTTTCAAGAATCAGCTTCAAGAAGTCTATCGACACGGAACAACATACTATGCTCCTGAGCTGCAATATCCTCAGATTAAAACGTTTTCTCCGGTAAAACGAACAAAATCAGCTATACCAATAGTCAATCCTGAGGTGAGTCTTTTCCCTTGAGTAACCAGCATTACATTAGTATTCTTGTTAAGCAAGTCATTATTTCTGCATTCTGACTGTAGAAACTGTAATTTTATTGTCTCGCCTTTGACGGAGTCAGAAAGCGAGACTCAGGTATGCTGTTTCGGACTGCGGTGGTGTCAACAATGTTTTAGTTTGTGATAAGGTCAGTTTAAGAAGAACCACTAGTGTTAGGTCAATGATATTTGGTATGTAGATGCATTAGTATTAGCACATCTCATTTCCATGGAGATTATTCAACCCTTCCCCCTAAGTCATCGTCTATTGACTTTGAAATTTTTGCTTCCTTAATATGTATTTATAATAGTTTGTGATTAGGTCAGTCTAAGGGAAATCACTAGTGGTAAGTCAATGATATTTGGTATGTAGAAGCATTAGCATTGGTACTGCCACATATCATTTCCATGGAAAATATTTGACGCCTCCTTCTCAGACATAGTCTATTGACTATGAATGTTTTGCATAGTTTACATGTCAAGTTTGTGATTAGATCAGTTTAAGTGGAACCGCTTATGTTAAGTCAATGATATTTGATATGCAGTTGTATTGTACTAGCTTTGAAATGGAATAATGATTTAATTTTCTTGAAAGAAATTATTTATGATTGGTGATAAAACTTTTTAAAAACGATCCCTCAAAACATTTTCAGTGTAAGTTAGCCAGGCTTTTTGTAACCGAATTCCGATTTGGTATTGGATAAGATATGTTTTATGAAAATAAAACCATAGTAACATTAAATTCTTTGAATTTCAGGAAGTTACTGGTAATGTTTATGTGGAGGATGTTGAAGGAGAAAGAGATTTAGCTGAGGATCAGTTTCAGGTAGATAACAGAGATGCCATGCTTCAAGAAACAATTGATAGAGAATTTGGATTTGAGGATCAAACTGAGGCTCCATCATTGTATGAAGGAAAATCTGTTACTGAACCTGTTTCAGACGAAACATTATTGACAAAAACAGATGGACAGACTTTAGAGACAATAGAACACACTGATAGTGATTTAGACTCTTTATCGTCAAGGTTAACAACAGACATCAGTAATTATACAATAGCGTTCAGTACAGAGCAGGAAGTCATAGATAAGGAAGATGATCAAGATGATGAAAGGAACTCTCCTGTTATGGAAGTTAAGAATAGTCTGTCTGTTGTTGAGAGCGTTCCAATTGTAGAACAAGAGGACAGTCTACCAGTTGATAGGATATCTCCTGCCATTGAAAAAGGAGATAACCAAGGTGATGAAAGAAACTCTCCTGTTTTGGAAGTTAAGAAAGGCCTGTCTGTTGTTGAGAGCTCTCCAGTTGTGGAACAAGCTGACAGTCTAACAGTTGATGATACATCTCCTGCCTTAGAAGATAAGAATAGTCTGTCTGTTGTTGAGAGCTCTACAGTTGTGAAACAAGATGACAGTCTGTCAGTTGACAGGACATCTCCTGCCATAGAAGAGAAGAATGGTGAGAGCTCTCCTGTCATGGAGGAAAAGAACAGTGTGTTAGCTGATAAAAGCTCTCCTGTTCCTGAAGATACAAAAGATACTTCACAAGAAGCAGCTGATGCCTCAAGCTCACCAGAAATTTCAGTTACATAGTCTTTCATAATTATTGTTAAGTGTTTTTGCAATTTTGTTTATGTATAGTATGTGAGATATCATGTTGGTAGATTGTGTTAAAGTTACAAGCATTATTCTTTTCTGCAATTTAAAGCTTGTTTTGAAATTATATGAATGATAAGAAAAGGCACAGTCATCTTTGAGCATAGCATTTTCATTATCATATATAAATATTGTCCATTTTATTAGTTAAATCTGTAATTATGTATAAACTGATGAGAGTTCTTTTTTAAGTTAAAACATTTTAAATTCCTGCATATACTTTTGTCTCCTTTTTTTAAATAGCTTTAATCATGTTAATATTAAAATTATTGGATATTGATTTATTTTTTCTCTCTCTTTCTTCTTGACTTCTACATGTTCTATCTGTGAATGATGAATTTCTTGTTTTACTTGAAAACCAGAAAGCTAGTTACATATATTTGTATACTTTTCAACCTCAAATATTGACCTCTTGGTTGAATTGTTAATCACAAGGTTAATTTATATGAAAATATCCAATTTTTGTGCTACCAAAAATATTACCTTATCTATATTTGGCGTATTATTTCAGAATTCCTCAATGCTCTTCAATATCATATTTACATGTACTTTTGCTTTTTAAATTTTTTTTTTTTAAGTGTAACTGATGAGTCTTTTGTAGACAAAATGCATGTCTGGCATACAAATAATCTCATCATAGATACCAGGATTAAAATTGTGTAAGCCAGACATGTGTCATGTCTACTAAAGATTTATCAGTGATGCTAGAATCAAAAAAATTAAACAGCCCAAATAAAGTACAAACTTAAAGAGCATTGAGGACCCAAAATTCCAAAAGGTTTTGCCAAATATATCTATGATAATCTATTCCTGAGGTAGGAAATCCTTTAGTTTTTTCGAAGAAAAAAAAATCATATAGTTTTGTAAATTACAAAATTATAAGCCTAGTATTTTTGATGAGTTTTTTTTGATCAATTGAATTTTGAAGTAACAGTGTCAAAAACTAAAAATCAGCAGCAATTTTTGACTGTTGTATGTTTTGGTATTAACTGCATTGTGCCTTTCCCAAGTCAGGAACTTGATCAAACATGTTGTTCAGTAGTTGTAATTGATAAGAAGATCTTTGTTAAGCTGTGTACAATTTATTGTCATCTTGTCTAGACTTTCAATGAATTAGAGTTTGACATCTTGTTTTATAGATACAACCATGCACTTGTCAGCTGTTAGTGAGGAGTGTGATTTGACCTTATGAATTGTTGGGTTGCTCATTGATATGTATACCTCATATCTCCATTTAAACAGAATGAAAGTCCTAAATTGAATTCAAGATAAAATAATTATACTTTTGGTTGTTTTTATTAGTTCACACATGTCAAAGTATTTCAAATGAATTCTTTATCTTCTTTCATTTTGTATGCCTTCAAACCAGGTTCTCAGCAGTTTGATAAATTTTTATAATCACTATTTACAATTATATCATTAGAGAAACAGAATCTACCACTTAACCCTGTTGAACACAATATTTATCCATTGTTTATAATTGAATTTTTTAAATTTCAAAATGCTCGGTAAACCTCACATTTTAAAGTTGGAAAAGTTGGGAAATCCTGAGTGGATAAATATGGTAATAAACAAGGTGAAGTGTTAGAAGCTATGATTATCTAGTTAGATGTTCCTTGGATGAAGCAACAATTTTTATATCAATTTCTGTTTTTGTTTAATTTTTGAATTTTGGTTAAAAGAAAGTTTATTAATTTTCAATTTACATGTAGAACTCATTCATGTCACATAACGACATAAAGTAAAAAAAATCATTTTTTTCTTCACACACGACTTAAGAGTAAATATATTGGTGCCAGTGTTTCAATTTCTTTTTACTGCATATTCATTACACTTTAAAAGCTGGAAGCCAGACAATACTGTGGACTCATTATTATTTGTAGGGTAACAATTATTGTGAGTATAAGTAAACCACTAATTTACATACTCAAAGAAATTTAAATTTCCTAAAAGCTTTTACACAACAGAATATGTGAAACCAAAACATGAAATCAAGAGTCAACGAAATTTCTCTCAAATTTTTCCTGAATCCACGAATATTAACATCCACAAAAATAAATAAATCCACTGTATTTTTATCTTTTTTTTTTATAATATTAAGTTAAATATGATGTAGGTTTCTCAATTTTTGTTTATTTTTTGCCATCATTTTTTTTTTATTTTTCCAATTGTAGGAGTACTTGGTTAAAACTTTTATTTAGCATGAAGACACTGTATTTATTCAAATAAAAAAAAGTATTTCAGCACTTAAGTTTATTTGATTAGCAAGCATATCCTATCTCACTATAGTACTGTAAGTTCAGAAATTATTGCAATTATTTCTGAATTTACAGTATATAAATATAAGAAAAATTAGGGCAGCTTAGTTCATTGTTGTTATGCATTATGATATGCGGATAAAATGATTAGCATAAACAAATTATTGGCACAAAGAAATTTTCTTTGAAAAACACACTTATTTCATGTACTGTAAATTCAAAATTTGTGTGCACATTTATTATTGTGATTGTTGATCAATGGACAGAAATGCTAGATTGTTTATTGACAGAAATGCTAGATTGTTTATTTCCGTTGCAGGAAATGATGCATGCAGTTAATGCTAATGAATTTTAAAATGTGAAATATATTTGTTGCAATTTTTGCATTAATTAGAACATTGCAAAAAATTCTGAATTTACAGCAAATATAAAATTTAGTTGTATAGTGATTTTTTTTTTTAATTCGATATGTGTTTATTTTTATGAATAGAGTATGATAACTAATTTTAGTGGTTCAATTACATATAAAGAAATTTGAAAAAACCACATACTTTTAAAGTAAAAAATGTAAATTGTGGAAAAGCTTAATAAGAAAAGGAGATTTGGTAACTTCTACGGCAACTATATCACCCTTCAAAAACAGATCCCTATAAATTCATTAAATGTGCTTAAACCAGCAACATCCGATCAGCCTGATCGGTAAGACATGCGCAATTAAGATTTGACAGATAAGGTGATGTAGGAGGTACAAGTTGTATATAAACAGCAGCTGATAAATGTAAACAAAACAAATGCACATGCTTGAGGAATTTGTAGCAGACGATTTAATTATCTTATCCACTGTGGTCAAAATAGTTATGGTTTGTTGTAGATATAATAACAAAAATAAAGAAAACAAATATTTACTTACAATTATGTTTTAACGATTTGACTTAAAAATTGTGAGATAAAATATCATAAATCCAAGTAAATTTGAACTAACTGATCCCAGATTTCAGACCACATGTTGTAAGATTTCCTTTTCAAAATTTTTACTTGTACTTGTCTTCGTGGGTTTTTTGCATCTTGAACAGTTTTTAATGATGTGGTTTGCCTATTTACATGTTCATTCCAATCCAATACAGCTAGATTTGTCCGAAGAATATAAACTTGTTTGGAGAAGTTAATTCTCTTGTCATGATATTGAAGAATGGCATTATTGAAACTTTCCACATAATAACTGTCCATACAATGAACATAATCAGTTGGCGATTTATATACCTGGGTGTTCATTAGAGCCCGACCTAATAACATCTCTGCTTTGGGATCCTTGATTAAATATTTAGTTGGTTCATAATTCGAATCAGTTTTACACCTTGATAATTCACTACAGTGTTCGTGATTGTTCTTATAATGTTCAACTATATTCAATAGACTTAGTTTAAGTTTCACTGGATCCTTATTGCAATTTTTCATTGCCCAATAAAGATGAGTTTTTATACTTGCTGCTTTGTCCGATAACTCAGGGTGCCACGTTTGTCCTTCCTTGTATCTAGGTCCAGAACAAATGGTCTTGATTTCTTTGGCTATGTTTTTGGTGGCATGCCATGTATCATTTGTTGATTCTGTGTCAATTCCATTAATACGGATAAATTTGTTAACACTGGTATTTCTGTCATGACAGTGAACGCGAATTTTCACCTCGTACTCATCTCTGAGATTTTTAAAATATTCGTAAATCCTCTCTGTTCCTATAAGTTCATGTTTTTGTGCACTTGTACAATCCACTTTTGAAATTGTTTCAACACGTAAAACTTTGTGTGTTCTGGCACCAAGGCAAACTACGTCTGTGTACATAGAGTTTTTTCTGGTACCATGTCTTGCATCAGTTACAATATCGATACCTTCTTGAAGTTCTTCATAAGAAGCAATTTCCTCCAAAAGAGCAGTTTCATATGGCTCTTTCACCAGCTGTGACACTACCGGGGCGTATTTCTGGAAAATACTATTCAGCGTAGTCTCCCCAATAGTACCAATGTTAGATGCCTGACAAAATCTGGAATATTGGTTTGGAAGTATTCCTGACACATAAAATCCGTGAGACATTCTTAAATTACATAGATATTTGTCTCCCATATACGGTGAGCTTGACCACAGTAGTTCATGTTTTTCCTCACATTTAAGTTTGCATACTCCAACATGACCCTTAATATCAGTTGAGTAAAGATGCAACTGACTTTTACAAACTTTTCCATGGTTTATCACTCTTTTAATAAGGTTCTCGATTGATGTTTCGGCAGTGACAAAAAGTTTCTGTGTTGATGTTTCCTCATTACATGATGTAAAAGAACAGTCCAAAAATGGTATATTGTTTTCCTCAGTCATATGTTGATCTTCATGTAGTTGTGTTATATTGTTTTTAATGTAGAATGTCATTACTTCAAATAACATGTCTTTATTTGTAGTCCTGTTTGGGTTCCCACCACCCATTGCCTTTTTAATGTCATTGGTCATTTCATATATCAAATTCTTCTCATCAATAGATCCAGAAGAAAAATTTATTTTTCCTTCAATAGGTTTTGGTTTTTCTTTCCTCATATCATTCCTTCTTTTAACACTCTCAACTTTATCTTTTAAATATTTTCTTTTTTCTGCAGGTTGAATATTTTCATTCATATTTACAGCAAGTGCTTCCATGATTATGAAAAATTCAATTTCTAAATTTCCCTCCAAAATTTGATAGCTACTGATGTTGGACATTCCAATTTTTCACTCAAAGCAGGGGTGCATGAAAACTAAGTTTTATTCTTAAAACAGATATATGTTTCTATACTTTTTCTTGAGGGTTTTTGGAAGAAATTATTTAATATTTTTGAGATTTTATTTGTATTTGTAATGCAATTATTGAAAACTTTCCCTCAAAAATAAGTTACATGTGGGTTTCCCCCCATCGTCAAAATGCTAGACTTCACTATTTATCTGGGGTGAACTTGGGAAACAAGAGCAGAATATATATATTTGATAAAATATTGTGTCAATTCAGCAGCTTTTACATTTATCTTAGGTATATAAATCACAGGTTATAACACTAATGTGTTTCGTGTAAAGATAAAAAAAACACTTAATTGGACATTAAAAATTTTAACGATCCCCAAACCCCCATCAAAAGTGTGCAAAGTGATACTGGCACACCTAAAACTGTTACACATGACATTTTTGAAATCTATAGTAAAATGGAAAACCAAAATCATCAAAATATTCTTTCTTTGGCTGTAACAGAGGAACAGAAACTTGCAATTCAGGCATTTTTTAGCCACAATGATTGGGACTTTAATGAGATAGCACCATCAAGTACTTCTTCTAACCTTCATTTAGAAGATAATGCAGAAACCAATATTAGTGCAACTGATAAAATTGAACACCCTGGTCAAAGTGGGTCAGATCAACAAAGTGCTGGAAATGATACCAATGATGAAGATATGTGTCAGGATTGTTTTTGTAGTCCTTGTGTTACACAAAACAGACAAAATTGGTTAGGTGTAGGACAGAGGGCACATGCTAGGAATAGTGGAATTAGAAAACTGAAATATAAATTATTCTGGAGAATGATGCAGGATAGAGGAGCATGGAGCAGTCCTCAATATCTCAGGAAAAAATGCAGGCTTTTGAATAGGGATAGGGTTGATGAAACTGTTGTTATCGTCAGAAGAGAGGTTATCCCCGATTGTGTGTTAAATCTTGTGAGGGAATTGTACCCAAACCCTAAATCTAAACCATACATGGGACATAGATGGCACTAATTCATGATATACTTTTTTTATTTCAACCTGTAGTGACTGATATAATTAAACCCTTTTGACCTTTTTTTATTACTTTGCACTCAATGTTTATATACAATTTAACTTATTGGATTAATTGACAAAATAAGTTTTCTGGAAGGAAAGTTTGTGTAATGTTTCAAAGGGATTTAAACATTGGATATCTCTGCAAATTAGGTAGGTGCTGTCTTTATTATGCATGAACATTATTTTCCATGTGCATTTGTTTACAAACAGAATCAGCTGTTGTCAGGCTCCGCCTTCAAAATTCAAATTTGAACTAAAAATCTGTTCACTTCAGATTTTTAAACATGGAATATTTAAAAGATAGAAAGATTTTTAATTTTTTTTTTCACATAATATGTTGAAAATTCTTGAAAGAACATATGTAACAAAAATCATAATAAATTACAAGTGATAATAAAAGTGATTCATAAAACATTGTCTCTGATTTGAACCCTGTCAATTATTTACAGATTTTAAGAATTCAAGGGATGCAACCCTTTTATACTCATGTTGCTGGTTTAACATTACACAATACTGTGTATTTATCTAAGATAGCCATAAAAGTACATGAAAATTAAGAATATAACATTTTTGGAGAAATATCAATAAGTTATTATTCAATATCTGCCTGATTCTATTAAAGATGGAACAGTACTTTAAAAATCTTGTACATGTGTTTCAAGTAATGTCGGTTAAAAGTCTTTTTTGGGGTTAATGTTTATATAACATCCACAGGATATATATATAAACACAAGTACAATTTGATGGCAATTCAATATATCATCATGTGTTATCAAGTAACTAAGTATTTGTAAAAAAAAAAAAATGTTGGTTTTTGTCGAGCCTGCGACTTTTGTCGCAGAAAGCTCGACATAGGGATAGTGATCCGGCGGCGGCGGCGTTAGCTAACTTCTTAAAAGCTTTATATTTTAGAAGCTAGAAGACCTGGATGCTTCATACTTTGTATATAGATGCCTTATGTTACGAAGTTTCCGTCTGTCATATGTCCAATGTCGTTGACCTCATTTTCATGGTTCAGTGACTACTTGAAAAAAAAGTCAACATTTTTTGTAATGTTAATTTCTTTCTTATTATGAGTTATAGGATAACTATATTAAGTATGTGCGTACCTTGCAAGGTATATGCAATAGGTCAACTATAAATGGTGTATGGAATGATTGTAAGGTGTACATGTCTAGCTGGCAGGTGTCATCTGACCTTGACCTCATTTTCATGGTTCAGTGGTCAAAGTTAAGTTTTTGAGTTTTGGTCTTTTTTTCTAATACTATATGTAATAGTTCAACTATATTTGGTGTATGGAAATATTTTATGATTTATATGTCAGTCACGCAGGTTTTATTTGACCTTGACCTCATTTTCAAGGTTCCTTGCTCAGTGTTAAGTTTTTGTGTTTTGGTCTGTTTTTCTTATACTGTATGCAATAGGTCTACTATATTTGGTGTATGGAATGATTGTAAGGTGTACATGTCTAGCTGGCAGGTGTCATCTGACCTTGACCTCATTTTCATGGTTCAGTGGTCAAAGTTAAGTTTTTGAGTTTTGGTCTTTTTTTCTAATACTATATGTAATAGTTCAACTATATTTGGTGTATGGAAATATTTTATGATCTATATGTCAGTCACGCAGGTTTTATTTGACCTTGACCTCATTTTCAAGGTTCATTGCTCAGTGTTAAGTTTTTGTGTTTTGGTCTGTTTTTCTTATACTGTATGCAATAGGTCTACTATATTTGGTGTATGGAATGATTGTAAGGTGTACGTGTCTAGCTGGCAGGTGTCATCTGACCTTGACCTCATTTTCATGGATCAGTGGTCAAAGTTAAGTTTTTGAGTTTTGGTCTTTTTTTCTAATACTATATGCAATAGTTCAACTATATTTGGTGTATGGAAATATTTTATGATCTATATGTCAGTCATGCAGGTTTTATTTGACCTTGACCTCATTTTCAAGGTTCATTGCTCAGTGTTAAGTTTTTGTGTTTTGGTCTGTTTTTCTTAAACTATAAACAATAGGTCAACTATATTTGTTGTATGGAAGAATTGTTAGCTGTACATGCCTGCCTAGCATGGTTCATCTGACCTTGACTTCATTTTCATGGTTCATTGGTCAATGTTTAGTTTACTTGGTTAATGTTAAGTTTATGTGACAGTTGTAATAAAGCTTTATATTTAGGACTATCAACATAATATAAATGATTAGTAAAGAAGGCGAGACATTTCAGCGTGTGCACTCTTGTGTTGAATATTTGCACATTATTTAAATTTTATTTTTCTTGTAAGTAATATTTTATGATGTACTGTGTATCATAGGACTTTTAAAAATACATTCATTACCTTTCTTAAATTGTCCGTTTATAAATTTTGAAATTATATGGAAACTAAGGTTTCAACTCCCTCATGCAAAGTTGACCTTAGATGGATTTGGCAATTTTTTTTAGGTCCTATTTGGTCACACATAGCTCTTCAACTGTTTTGGTTCTCATACACCCTTGGCTTTCAAATGTTCGGCTTTCAGCATCCCTGATGAAGGTAAATCCAGAAAATCACTTCGGACGCCTGGAATTTATAACATGTTGTTATCACATTCAACTTCAAAAACACCATAATTTCATTGTGTTCATGCAGGTTTTAAACAGATAAACAGTCAATAGATATAAGAAGATGTGGTATGAGTGCCAATGAGGCAACTCTCCATCCAAGTAACAATAGATATAAGAAGATGTGGTATGAGTGCCAATGAGACAACTCTCCATCCAAGTAACAATAGATATAAGAAGATGTGGTTTGAGTGCCAATGAGACAACTCTCAATCCAAGTCATAATTTATAAAAGTAAACCATTATAGGTCAAAGTACGGTCTTCAACACGGAGCCTTGGCTCACACCGAACAGCAAACTATAAAGGGCCCCAAAAATTACTAGTGTAAAACCATTCAAACGGGAAAACCAATGGTCTAATCTATATAAAAAGTCTGGTAGTTCTGTCATTCAGTTCACTAAGTCCATCCATTTCCATGACATTACTTCATATGAATGGGATGTGTAAAATTATTAGATAGTATTGTTTAAACACTTATTTCAACTTACTTCAGAGTAACATCTTGTTTGGAGTTGGACTTTTTATATGATTTGGAGTATTTGTTCTTTAATGGAGTAAAAAAACGAGGTATCTTATCTCATTAAAAATTCTCATTTGTTTAAAGTCATTGTTAGCCTTGCAAGTACCAACTTTTGTCCCTAAGCATTTTTCATGGTGTTTTTTTCCGGTGAAAACCCTTAGTCTGCAAAACAAAAATGTTGTTATGAGTGAAAATTTTCAGTAAGTTATTGACTAAAATTAATGTCATGTGCTGGACATCCATTGTTTTATGTTGTCAAAATAAGTATTAAATTTTTGTAATTGTTTTAGAGGATCCTGTTACAAGTGGTTTTTTTTATATTCATCTTAATAAAAATGTTTTTATGTTTGCATTAAGAAAATTCTGTTCATATTTCTGTAGAATAAGAGATTGCGATTTAGCTCAGGGCTGTTCCAAAATTTATTGGTTGGGGGGATGGGAGGCTCTCAAATTAAATTTAATATAGGTGGTAGCATTTTCATTAGGATTGCAAAAGTTTTGCAAAATTGGGATTGTTGAAAGGAATTCCGCACACTTTGCAGGTTTAGACAAGTTCTGTATCATATCCCTAACTTATGTAAAAATATGTATTCAATTGTTATACCATAGAACTAGTTATGATCATTTTAAAGGATGTCAGTGCTGAATTCATTAAATAACTGTTTCTCTAATGATGTTTTCTTGATTATTTTTATTTAATCAACGTGTGGTTCGTTTGATCTCACTTCTTCATTGGTCAAAACTTTATTATGATGTCAAAGTTTCTTCCTGTCATCTGAATTTCCTATTGTGACGTCATGAAAAAAGGCGACCATGTCTGATGACGTCACATAAAAAGAACACATCTTTTTGCAGATCATTTGAAAAGAATGATCTAAATATAATTAGAGAAACAGATTCCACAACAAAATCTATTGCAATACGATATTTATCTATTCTCGACAGTTAAATTGTCTCGTGTGGATACATATCGTATCACACTTCATGCAGTGGTAGAATCTAAATACATCTCATGGTCAAAATCTGTATAGTTAGTATATTTGGATAGGATGTCTGTATATATACACAAGTTATGTCATACCAAAGTGATTTCCTGATGTAGATATTATATAATATTAATTTAATTTTACCATCATTTCAATATAGTATGGATGTTGAAATTACAAAATGAGCCGCTAAATTTTTTTCTATACTGAATTTTTTTTTACAGTATACCAATATCATTTTCTATAGATATTTAAGCACTTCTACTTTAGAAATTTGAATAAAAAAATGAATCAATATATTGGAAGCATGGACTTATTTTTTTTGCATTGCTAAAATCTTTTGAAAAAGACCTACTAATTACAGGCAGGTGTTGTATTGTGAATTTTTGCTTGCATTTGTTTTTTAAAAATTGTCGAAAAATTGATGCAAATGCCAAATAAATAAGGTGACTTAAGAAATTATTGCATCCAGATAATGCTATCAACATTAAAAATTCTTGAGTTTTTATTTTAGCAAAAAATAGTATGTTACAATTTTTGAAACAATAAAATCTTCACAAAATTTTTTTAATTTACAGTACATTATATTATTATTACAATTCAATATTTAAAAATACAACTGAAAGTTAATTGTCTGATGAAACACCAAAATAAGCAGACATCCATTCTCACAAAGGGCTTTTCCAGAAATAATTGTATGGGGGGGGGGGGGGGGGGGGGGGGAGTTGAGTGTTGGAAGACACTTGAATTAAAATTTGATGGGTGGTGGTTATTTTAGACATATAGCCCTAACAATTACATGAAATGATGAATGAAAATTTGATGCATGGCGAGATTAAATAAAAAATAAAAAGTGCATTCAATATTTTTTTCGTAATAGATTACTGTAGTTCTTTCCAGTTAAATTTGGATTATCTCCCTTTTATCTTTAACTAGCATAGGTGTTTAGTGTGTGTGTGATTGTATCAATGGTGCAAGTACTTTGTTTCATTATGACAATAAATATAGGTGTATTTTTTTAAATGGGGAATTGGATTTTTTTTTTTTTTATAAAAATCGGGATTGAAATACTTGAAATTGTGAAACATTTCATGTATTTACATTAATATTAGTTTTCTAATAAATTGGACACATTTAATCGTAGTAATTTACTATCATAAGGCCAGTCAGTGATATCTTACTTATACTTTCTAATGGTAAAAGACCAAGATATGTTTGTGAATCAAATAGACTATAAAATACATTATAATTGTACATGTATTTCAATTTTACTTGCAATAAAATTTAATAAGCTTTCTTCCAGATTTTTGTTGCATTCCTCAGACTTTATTGTCCTATTTTATTTTGTTCAATCAGAATACATGTTATTCAATGTTTTTTTGAAAGGGGTATACTTTAAATTCAGATATTTTTGGGTGCATTTATTTATTGCTATTGTATAAAATTAGACAAATCTTAGAGATCAGTCATTGCGAATAAAAGAAATGTAGCATACATAATGGTATCAAAACTTAAAATGCAAGTTTTTATACGACCGCAAAAAAATTTTTGTGGTCGTATATTGGTATGACGTTGGCGTCGTCGTTGTCGTCTGAAGACACATTGGTTTTCGCACTCTAACTTTAGTTTAAGTGAATGGATCTCTATGAAATTTTACCACAAGGTTCAATACCACAAAAGGAAGGTTGGTATTGATTTTGGGGGTTATGGTACCAACAGTAAAGGAATTAGGGGCAAAAAGGGGCCAAAAATAAGCATTTTTGTAACTTCCAGACATAACTTGTGTGTTAGTGTATGGATCTCTCTGACATTGTTCCACAAGGTTCCATATCACAAAAGGAATGCTGGGATTGATTTTGGGGGTAATTGCCTCAAAATTTTAGGAATTAGGGGCCAAAAAAGGGGCAAAAAACAAGCATTTTTCTAGTTTCATGACAATAACTTGTGTGTAAGTGTATGGATCTTTCTGAAATTGTACTACAAGGTTCCATATCACAAAGGGAAAGCTGGAATTGAGTTTGGGGGTAATTGCCTAAACGTTTAGGAATTGGGGGCCAAAAAGGGGCCAAAAATAAGCATTTTTCTAGTTTCCAGACAATAACTTGTGTTCAAGTGTATGGATCTCTCTGAAATTGTACTGCAAGGTACCATACCACAAAGGGAAGGCTGGGATTGATGATGGGGGTAATTGCCTCAATATTTTAGGAATAAGGGGCCAAAAAAGGGGCAAAAAACAAGCATTTTTCTAGTTTCAGGACAATAACTTGTGTGTAAGTGTATGGATCTTTCTGAAATTGTACTACAAGGTTCCATATCACAAAGGGAAAGCTGGAATTGAGTTTGGGGGTAATTGCCTAAACGTTTAGGTATTGGGGGCCAAAAAGGGGCCAAAAATAAGCATTTTTCTAGTTTCCAGACAATAACTTGTGTTCAAGTGTATGGATCTCTCTGAAATTGTACTGCAAGGTACCATACCACAAAGGGAAGGCTGGGATTGATGATGGGGGTAATTGCCTCAATATTTTAGGAATAAGGGGCAAAAAAAGGGGCAAAAAACAAGCATTTTTCTAGTTTCAGGACAATAACTTGTGTGTAAGTGTATGGATCTTTCTGAAATTGTACTACAAGGTTCCATATCACAAAGGGAAAGCTGGAATTGAGTTTGGGGGTAATTGCCGAAACGTTTAGGAATTGGGGGCCAAAAAGGGGCCAAAAATAAGCATTTTTCTAGTTTCCAGACAATAACTTGTGTTCAAGTGTATGGATCTCTCTGAAATTGTACTGCAAGGTACCATACCACAAAGGGAAGGCTGGGATTGATGATGGGGGTAATTGCCTCAATATTTTAGGAATTAGGGGCCAAAAAAGGGGCAAAAAACAAGCATTTTTCTAGTTTCAGGACAATAACTTGTGTGTAAGTGTATGGATCTTTCTGAAATTGTACTACAAGGTTCCATATCACAAAGGGAAAGCTGGGATTGAGTTTGGGGGTGATGAATCATAAGGGGGTTCAAAAAATTTTGGGGGGGGATTTTTTTTTTTCCTTTTTTTTTTCTTTTAAAATTTTCCATTTTAAGTTGGTTATTTCTGATTTATATTTAAAAGCAAATAATAATGATATGGTAGGAGATACACACCAAACAGGATGTGTAAATTTTTATATAATAAGTATTGTGCAATAGCAAGAAATTTTCAATTGCACAGTATTGCACAATAGCAAGAAATCTTCAATTGCACAGTATTGCGCAATAGCAAGAAATCTTCAATTGCACAGTATTGCGCAATAGCAAGAAATATCCAATAGCACAATATTGCACAATAGCAAGAAATTGTCAATTGTACAGTATTGCGCAATAGCAAGAAATATTCAATTGCACAGTATTGTGCAAAAGAAGATACTTCGTATAAATTGCTTATTTCTTGACCAATTTCAATGGGGTTTTATTCTTGAATTCTTGGGGTTCTTTAATATGCTGAATCTAACCGTGAATTAAGTTTTTGGATTTTGGGCCCGTTTTTAAATTGGTCCACATTGAGGTCCAAAGGGTCCAAAATTAAACTTTGTTTGATTTCATCAAAAATTGAATTATTGGGGTTCTTTGATATGCCGAATCTAACAGTGTATTTAGATTCTGAATTTTTGGTTCCGTTTTCAAATTGGTCTACGTTAAGGTCCAAAGGGTCCAAAATTAAACTTAGTTTGATTTTAACAAAAATTGAATTTTTAGGGTTCTTTGATATGCTGAATCTAAACATGTATTTAGAGTTTTGATTATGGGCCCAGTTTTCAAGTTGGTCCAAATCGAGGTCCAAAATTAAACTTTGTTTGATTTCAACAAAAATTGAATATATGGGGTTCTTTGATATGCTGAATCTAACCATGTAATTAGATTTTTAGGCCCCGTTATCAACTTTGTTCACATTGAGGTCAAAAGGGTCCAAAATTAAACTTTGTTTGATTTCATCAAAAATTGAATTCTTGGGGTTCTTTGATATGCTGAATCTAACCATGTATTTAGATTTTGGATATTGGACCATAATAGATGAATGTCCAATTTAAAATTTTTAAGTTCTTAGACCACATTCATTCTGTGTCAGAAACCTATGCTGTGTCAAATATTTAATCACAATCCAAATGCAAAGCTGTATCAAGCTTGAATGTTGTGTCCATACTTGCCCCAACTGTTCAGGGTTCGACCTCTGCCGTCGTATCAAGCTGCGCCCTGCGGAGCATTTTATTTTTTTTTTCTAAAATATTTTCCTTTGCAATAATAACAACACATTGCAATATTTTTTTCTGAAATTTACAGTATGCCAAACCCTCTTAATCCCAAATGTGCAGGAATTGAGATTACAAGTATTCTAAATTATGGTCATTGCTAGACATAGAAATGTTACTAAATGTTTGAAGACCATACAACCCCAATGTTTATTTTTTATGCCCCCGCCGTAGCGGAGGGAGCATTAAGTTTTACCCTTGTCCGTCTGTATGTCCGTCCATACGTCACAAAATTGGTTTCCGTTCTCTAACTTTAGTTTGCCTCAACCAAATGTTATGAAACTTATACACAATGCTTATAACCACAAAACACAGATCAAGTTTGAATTTTGGTACTGTTCTAGAGTTATGCCCTATACAAATGGAAAAATTGCTGAATTTTTCGTTTCTGTTCTCTGACTTTAATTTTCCTGAACCAAATGTTATGAAACTTATACACAATGCTTATTACCACAAAACACAGATCAAGTTTGAATCTTGGTGGTGTCACTTTTACTGTTATAGTTATGCCCTTTTACAAATGGAAAAATTGCTGAAATATTCATTTCTGTTCTCTAACTTTAGTTTGCCTCAACCAAATGTAATGAAACTTATGCACATTGCTAATTACCACAAAACACAGATCAAGTTCGACTTTGTTGGTGTCACTTTTACCGTTCTAGAGTTGTGCCCCTTTACAAATTTAAAAATTGCTGAATTTTTCATTCAGTTCTCTTACTTAAGTTTGCATCAACTAAATGTTATGAAACTTATAAACAATGCTTATTACCACAAATGCTTTTATGCCTGTTATCTTTGCCCTACAAAGGCCTTGCTTAAACATTGTGGTCCAGTATTTTTGTTCTGCTGCCAATCATATAGTGTAAGCCATATCTTTCATTCTATCATACTTAATTGAACAATTGTATGGACGTTTTTGGTTTAACTACACATACATGTTTCAATCAGATTTTTGGTTTATATTCGTATTTTGAAAATTTCAAATTAAATTCATGTTTTGTTTGGATGGGATACTTTTCATGGAATTACGAACATTGGAATTTGTTAGGAGGCAGTAACATTTGCCTGAACACATCTGGACAATGAGGAATTTGTTTTGATATGCTGCAAAAACAAGAGTTAGAACTTCTTAGCTCTATGTGGAAGGCAGTACTGGTAAGACCATAGATGAATAGCAGGAGTAGTAGGTATTCAACAATGGATATAAGTTCACCTGAAATTGTGTTCATTTACTGAATATTCCTATTGAATAATTATACACAACCATAGAACTCATGATATATATGCTGATGCACACGTGTGTCCATCTCTGTCCATTGTTTGTCTGTTAATCAGGATGGTAAAAACAGAAGTTCTCAACTTACAGTGACCATATGAATTTAAAATTTAGTTTCAAGACGAGTTTTCAATTTCAAAGTTATGGCCCTTGATAAAAATAAAACTCGTCTAACTCTTCATCATCCGAGTATTAATGTGCATGTACCAAAACCAGGAATATAATCAGTAGTTATCCTAATCCTTTTGTTATTCGTAGAGTTTGGTGTTGATGGCAGATCTTATTTGATTTTCCACAACTTTTTATACATCCGCAAAAATTTTTGCAGTCGTATATTGGTATGACGTTGGCATCATTGTCGTCCGATGACACTTTGGTTTTTGCACAATAACTTTAGTTTAAGTGAATGGATCTCTGTGAAATTTAACCATATGGTTCAATACCACAAAAGGAAGATTGGGATTGATTTTGGGGGTTATGGTACCAACAATTAAGGAATTAGGGGCCAAAAATAAGCATTTTTCTAGTTTCCAGACAATAACTTGTGGAATGGTGTATGGATCTCTCTGAAATTATACCACAAAGGGATGGTTAGGATTTGCTTTGGGGGGTTATGGCTCAAACCGTTTAGGAATTAGGGGAAAAAAAGGAGAAAAACAAGGCTGTCCTGGTTAACGGACAAATACTTTAGTACAAAACATAATTTAAAGCAGTGTAAGGGAGGTAATTCAAATACATCAA